TGTTCACCCATGGCAGTCTTTATCACATCCACCTCTCGCTGGGTAAACTGCAAACTCGTTTTTATCTCCTGTATTTCTCTGGTCATTTCGTCAAATCTCCTGTTGTTTGTCTCCATAATTAGTTGCACAAAGCCTTTGAAGCACTCCTGCTGTTGGTTAAGCATCGCATGATCCACGATATCTTTAACTTGCGCCGCTCTATGACACATTTCTTCTGCCTCCATATCCTCCGTCGCTTCTGATTTATTAGCTCTTTTCCCTCTTTGAGGCATTTTAGCAGTTGTAAGTATGCTCAAAGACTTGAAATATAGAACAGACAAGAGGAGCAGTAAAGACGTCTGCTCTCGCTTGCAAACCTGGAAATGATTTTTACATCTACAAGCTAACCACAGTGAATTCCACTGGTGTAAATGTCATTTAACAACAAATGAGTGCCTCTGGAAACTGAGTGGTGCGCAGTAAGGGTCACTGGCCCCTCTGTCCGCTGAGTATGTAGTTGTGTGTTGTACTTGGGCTTATGAGCTGGACAGATTGTCTGCTTTGTGAGCCTGAATCAAGGCCCCTAGCCAAGAGGAGCCAGATTTGTTAGTGTCTGCTCTATTATCACCCATCACTCCCATGGTGTGTCGTATGTGTGCGGGTGCATGAGGGAGAGAGATCTTCCTTGCTGTGGTCCAGCCCAAACAGTTACCATCTGGTGACCAGTGACTGACCCTTTTCTTGTCTTTCTCTCTCTCTCTCTCACACACACACACACACACACACACACAGACATATATAAATACATATATTTATGTATATGTATATGTATATAAATTTAAAACCTGGGCAGTAAGAGCTACAGTTATCTAATAAGTACGTGAATTTTTACATTACTATCACATTTTTTAAGTACTTCTCACAAGCATATAATCATTAAACTTAATTGAAATGTAATTCATTAATTAACTTTACCTGGATGTGGAAAGAATTTAAATAGATTAATCAATTTAAAGTTTATTACATTTTTGCTAAAATTTAGTTGATGAGCTAATTAGCTACATATCTCTTGTTGACTTGCTACCACATATAAAAAGGTCATAACAAAGGTGACTGCTTTCAGCAGGCAAGAAAAAATATTCACCACCTTTGTAAAAGGTGAAATTCAAGATGCTTTAAAAAAATCTTTTCAAGACCTGCAGATACCGTTATCTTCTATTCTTCCAGTTTTTTATTTGTCTCTTTTTAATAAAACTGTATATTTTAGCCATTTCACTGACAGAAATTGTTTGCTCAGCGAGCATTCAGCCGTGGCGAGAATCAGTTCTGCCCTCCTGTGTTTTTTCTCTCTCGTCTGACAGGTAGGAGAGATCCGAGCTCATGCTGCAGAGTGGACGGCTAACGTCTCAGCAGAGTTCAAAGAAACCCGTCGACGCGTTAGCGTTGAGATCTATGATAAGTTCCAGCGTGCAGCCTCAATTAAACGCAAACTGTCCTCAGAGCTGGGATTTAGCCCTGCCCCTGAACTCCCCCTACCCAGGAGGAGCGTGTCAGCCAACTTCAGTGATGAGCGGGACAGGAACGAGAAGGAGGCCAGACTGCAGGGTTTGACAACACCTCTGGTCAGAAACGGTGGTGTGTTCATGAAAAGTTTGGACCTGGAAAACGGAGATGTCTCAGTCAATGAACACCTCAAGTAGAAGGACAGTAGTCAAGATTCTTAAGCCCTTTCTATTTGTCATCATCAGTGCGGAGACCCGAGCTGCTTGACCAAATTAACTTTTTTTAAATTCACAAATCAACTAATAAGAAGAATGTAGTACTTTGTGACCCAGCAGGGAAACCTGTAAAAGGACTCTTTTCTCAAGAACAGTGGGTTTTCACCGCCCTCATCCCAACAGCGAAACACTGTGTAAGAAGAAGAACGCACAGTGCAGGATTTGATCTGAACTGCGTTTACTGTCTACTAAACCTCACTCACCTCTGGGAGTAAAGCAAAGTTGACACTGATGATAAGCCAATAGACGGGTACATTTCCGACATGCTGTATCCATAACTTTACAGTATTTTGTGACCTAATATCCAGAGCCTGAAGAATGTCCAAGGTGCCAGGCTGTGTTTGCAGCGCTTCAGTAGTTTTCACTTCAACAATCTGGGATGCATTTTCATTACACAGCTGTACAACTTATGAACAATTTTGTTTTTTTAATTTGTCAGTTTAGAGGTAGAAGGAAACATGGGGAGAGAGAGGTAAGCAACAAAGGCTCCCAGCAGGAGTCCATGGTTTGTGGTTGAAGAGCCACTTTGTTGCTGTTTGTCATGTGAACACAGACAGTGACACAGCAGGCGGTTACCTGAAACAACAAGCAATATGTCAGTGACGTTATCTGTACGGTTGTAAAAGGTGCAGAAGATGACGTCTGGACTGCACAGACGGTGGAGTGGGATGGGGAGAGACAGATGTTGTGTGAAACGACTGAAAAATGTTGAAATGTGATGTTGTTTGAAGTACAGATGAGCAGTGATGCTATGTTGAACCACAAAGATGAAGGACTGTGAAAGATCTGCATTTTCAGTCCTGTATCAGACTAGATTTAAACAATGAAACTCTCTGTAATTCTAACAACTGCAGTTGGCTAAAATAAGTAATACATTTTTAATCTGAAGCTTTTTGCAGGTTATCACTCTGCCTATTTTATAGACTAGCTCTTGGTTTTATCTCCAGCTATGATACTGTGCAACTGTTATATGATGCGTACTACAGTGGAGTATAATCATTACTGCAATTTACTGTAATAGTGAAAAGTAGTTTTGTTATAACTTTTTAATTCACATATTTAGCTTCTACTGTTTGCTGCTGAATGTTCTGCTTTACAGGTTTAGTTTAAAGCTACAGTTTGTAGCTTTTTTCAAATATTTTTGTTAATCTGCTCCAAAACATGTCTTAATGTGGAGAGGTGCTGTCGAAGCCATCTGTGACCCAGACTTACAACTGTGCTGAGATATTAGCTTCTAAAAGGCTTTGAGTAGGACAGACCTCTCTAACCAAACAGAGATTTTAAATTATTTCTGCCTTACCAGCAAGTTTTGTTACATTCTCATTTATTGTAATTTTATGACATATCTGAAGAGCCTGGCAGAGCCTGGCAGAGCGTGGTGGCTCATAGTGGAGCAGGGAGAGGGAACGCTGGGTGGAGCAGAGTAGATTGATCTGGTGCTATGCTCAGTTACATATGGTAGATCTAAATAATTACAAGTATAAGCCATTACTGTTGGTCAAATATGTTTTCATCCCAACAAATTTCAATGTAAAACGTCTTTCCCACAATTCAACCATGTTCTTGGGCGACAAAACAGCTGCTGTGTTTTCCACTGTTAGTCCTTTAGTTTGGAGTGTTGTCAGTCTTTAACTGTAGAGCTGTTTGGAGTGTTTTGATTGATGACATCATTACATTAATATTTGCCACCAACTCCAATCAGATGCAGGCTGTGGTTGAAAGTGGCCAACAAGATGCAGGATGTGGTTTTGAAGGAGCTGGGTGCACTGTTTGCCTCAGTGAGGAGATTTGTCAAACTGCTGCAGTGCCTTCAACTTTTTACTTGCATGCGCACAACACACTGTGAGGCAGACAGCTGCTGCACATGATACTTTTACATGTGATATCTGTAGCAGTCCGGTTTACTTCACCTGAGGAAGATGTTTGAAAAGTTTTACTATGGTGACTCTAGTCTAACAAATCTGAATCAGTGATGTTCTAATGGCCTGGATCCACATGCCGCCATGTTCATCCAGCTGCTGCTAAAAATGCACCTTGACTGAACAGCTTTAAAACCTAACAACATGCTAGAGCTCTAGCTATCCAATCCATCCCATTGTTATGAGGCATTAGTGGCAACTGCACCGCCTAACATGCAAACTTTTGTTTTTAATAATCCAAGCAAGAGAGTCTGACACCCACACACAGCTAGATTAGCTTACCGAACTAAATTAACTCATGTTGAGAATTCACTGAAAGGGTTTTATACTAATCTAGTGAATATAAGGACAAAAGAAATCTAGAAATAGGTCTGTAGGGCAGCCTTTAGTTTTATACGTTACCAATGATTCATTGAAGAAAAAAAAAAAATCACATAAAACTCTGAACAAGACTCAATCATTTTTTATTTTCTGTAAATATGTTAATGCTTCAAACTTCATGTATTTTTCTATACCAATGTGAGAACACATTGTAATAATGTCTGTAGCGCTGACCTAAACACAAAGTAATACACTTTGTTCAATATGACTTAAAAATATACAAAATTCAATTTTTTTGGGTGCATTTGCTGTTTATTCCTAATGCGTTTTTTATAATCAGTTCTTTTCCAAAGAACAAAACAAGATCGATCCTATTCACCGTTTAAACTTGAGTTGTTGAACTGCATCATATTTAAAATGTTATATTCTACTCAGATACTGCAGTGAGTACAATTGTGACATTTTCAGGGTAACGTCAGGCTGAAAAGCAACATTTCAGTGTTTATTGTGTTGTACCTGTGACAACATCCAGAAGCACTGATGGGTGTAGCTGTGGTGGTCAGAAGTGTCTCTACAGCCTGAAGTTCACCTGTTCATCCCTGCAGCAAAGTGAGCAGCAAAACCACAAATAAAAAAAAAAATTCAGCAGCTATTAAGCTGATCTTTCATAACTCGGGTGTAACTGAGGTAAATTTAATATACGCGAGTCACACACAAAAGAATTGTCACTGAAAGGTGAAATGGTGCAGAAAGTGTTCAGCTGCACCAAGAAACCTGTTATTCCATCTGGATCTGGTGAAGAATCCGGTGACTACTCCCTATGTGTCCACACAGCTACTGTGGCAGGAGGGACACCCCCCTTGGATGATTTCAAATCCTCTAATATCTGAAAATTGGCAATTCTTGCATGTAAACATCTGTATAATCTTCAAAGAAAGCACAAGAGCAGCTACATAGAGCAGAAAGTAGGCCTACTGATGTGTTTTACCACAGCTCTATACGTGCACCACTGAGATCCTCCTCCGCAGTGATGTTCTCACTCAACAAGTCTATGCAAGTAATTTCTCTGTGGGAGGGGGGTGTTACTGTACCTCCAACTGCAGAAGTCAGATGAACTGGGCGGCTTTATTGCTGACTCTATTATAAAGGCTTCTAATTTTAGTTCTGTACATGTACAGACGATTTCCAGAAAGGTTTTGTACAAAGCTCAGCCCTCATACTGTGTGTAATCATAATACCTCCATCCCAGATGAGGCAGGGAGCAGACAGTGAAAGCCAAAGCTAGATTTCAGTCCAGCCATAGACACAGACGGCACAAACTGAATCTTCATTCCTCACTTTAGCAGGACTTGCCTCATCAGACTGACCATAGATCTCGGTCTGTCACACCCAGCAACACAAAAGACACCAGAGAATTCTCACATTTTAAAGCCTTTAAAAACTACAGTGGTGGTTTGTGGTACCCATGTGCTAAAAAGTAATTAAGTACATTTCCTATAATACTGTACTTAAGTACAATTTGTACTTTAAGTATTTTAACTTTATACTCCACTACATTTTTGAGGATACTTTTTACTGCATTACTTTTATTTTATAACTTCAGTTACTTCTTGGAATCAGATTAATAAAACAAAACAGTATAATCATAAGATGTCACTGATTCCTGGTAGGACATACACAGGCTACTCAGCAGTACACAAAGTACTTCAAATTATAAGTATACAAGGTAGCTAACATTAGCTCACAATACAATAATATGATAAACATGACTGAAGTGTGCCATTCTGCAGAGTGACTACTTTGACTTTTAGTACTTAAACGTATTTTGATGCAAATACTTTTACTTAAGTTTTGAATGCAGAACTTTTACTTGTAACAGAAATTTCTACTTTTACTTAAGAATCCGAGTACTTCTTCCACCACTGCTGCTATATCCGTTTATGTCTCACTCCCAGAAAACCAAACCTACCTATGGGTGACATTTTACCGATTACATGATTCAGTTTGATGCAACTACAGTGCACTACCACCTCATCCCCTCTGTCATGTTCACACAAACTGGTAAAACACTTCCTGTCGGTGAGTCCAGGCCTGAGAACTGCTGCTTACACAGTGTTTCTGGGTGAAGAATGGGATAAATCATGCATACAGCGCAGGGGATCGACAGCCTCATACACACACTCTCTAGTCTGAGTGCTAGTGATAACAGCTCAGAGGACTCATCTCCTCATTTCCCGTGTTCTCAGCCAGAGTTGGTTCTGGGACTGCAGCTTCCGGTAACAGCTCCAGCCAGAGAAATCAGATTAGGACTGCATCCGCCCTGAGGTGTGTGTGACCCTGTTGTCTCCCCTCTGTTCCCATAAACCAGCAAACCCTGCTGCCTCCTCACACCGCTGCCAGTCAGAGAGACAGGAAGATACCAGAACAAATGACCAAACCAGGTGATTGTTAAAAGGCCCCCAGTGTGCAGCTTTTGCTGATACTCCAACAAGAAAGAGATAAAAATTTACTGTCCTATTGTCACCACTAGGTCTTAGAAGAACAAGAGATCAGCACAGATCAATAACTCTAATGTTTACACACATTAAAGAAACTCACTGAATCAATCCACTGATCCAAAGCAGTGCTCCTTGTGGCAAAACGTCCTGATCAGGTTTGACATTTTTTTCCCCCATCAGCAGCTGTTTTATTTCCACAGTTAGAAGTTTGGACCCACTTTCCCACCGACTGTTGGAGTATTTGTACTGTCACATTCAGTCAGCATGAACGAGCACACAGAGAAGCTCTGTGACGTGTGGCCTGTTTTCGCTTACAAGGTGCATATCTGTGAAAAGAGCTTTTTGTTGTGCTACAGCAAAATGATTTTTGAAAATTAATAATTACAAATGTTTACAAAAGGCTTCTTAATAATCACCTATTGGTGAATCAGCCGACTTAAACCAGATGTACAGTGGACTGGAAGGAGCTCGCTGAGCCTTCACACTTTATTTTCACTTTAAGTGTACGATAACACCCTGCTTTGTCCTAGTGAGGGACCATATAAAACATTATTTCCTCATCCGTTTAAAACTTTAGCTCCAGGTGCATCTCACACCGATAGATACAGGATCTCCTGCTGCCCCTTATACTCACAGGTCGTGCACACTGCTCAGGTTCTCCACCCTGTGGTGGCAGAGCGCACCGTCACGCAGCTACACACTTCTGCTCATATGCCGACCTGCTTCCTGTAACTGTTCATAAATGCATAAAAATCAAGACACAAAGAAACCACACAAGCTATGAATCTGTTTAACAGGTTTAGCTTTAAGAAACGGGTCCTACTGAACCAGTTACACTGATCAACCACTAAATAAAACCAAACAGATCAAAGTCAGACCTACATTCAACATGTGCTGTAAAAAATATGTAAGAAAGATTTGCCTTGACTGAGTATAAAATACCAGGTAAATATGAAATGAAGTCAAAACAGAAGGTCTATACAACCCTTGCTGCACTAGCAGAAAGTGATATGTTAAAGGTTGATGATGCATAGCTGATACTAATGCGAGTATATACTGTATCATCTACTATGTACAAAGATTAAGACATCTCACATACTGAGCCACAAGAACAGAAGAAAACGTACAACTGGTGAGTCAGTGGAAAACATAAGACACAAGAGGAAGATACATTTATAAGCTTTACAAAATAAGAATCGTCTCATTCATTAAAAAACAAAGATGGAGAGTTTCATTATCACTAAAAAAAAAAAAAAGCATAATACCTGCTCCTCGTTAGCCTTCAACCCATACTCGCTCTAGTGATTTTTTTAGTTAACAACTTCCCACTGACAAAGAACAGAGAGACCAGCGGGTAAAGTGTAGCTGTTAGTCAAGTTCAGTCTTCTGCAGCTGTGGAAGTTTATTAACAGCAAACAAAACCACGTCTCTCCCAAAAGAAAATACACCGAGTGTTTTAAGTTGGAGATGTTACTTTTAACAATCATCTCCCTTTAAAAAAAATGGAGTGTTCACCTTGTGTTTCTCTACTTGTTTTATCCTTCTACAAATAATCTTAAAGTAACGCTGTGAGTGTCTGTGTCTACACTGATCTACTGAACTTGACATTTGTCTCCCTGTTGTGTTTGTTCTCTAGAAAGTTGTTCCTCATTCTGCTCTGGTGTTCTCATAGACTTTTCCTCACAGCTGGAGCGGTCTGCAGAGGGACTCTGGAGGGGTATGGGTCCTAAAACCTGCAGAGAAACAGCGAGAGGACAGGAAAGTGTTAGAAAGAAGCGCAGCAAAGTAAGAAGCGGGATATTTAATATAAAAACAAACAAACAAACAAACAAACAAAAAAAAAAACTAACTTCAGTTCTTTTGGCAGCAGCGCTCAACTGCAAGTGACAGGCATTTTTTCCTCTCAACCTCTTTGACCTGAAACCTCTACACGTTCTTTAAACCCACTATTGCTTCACTTCAGCTGACCCAATAAGAAGATGACCTGGACTGACTTAAAGGTGTTAAAGGGGCTGGATATCCAGTGGACAAATTAGAGGCCCGGAAAAATAAAGTGACACACATTGACCTGGAAAATTGGTTTAACAGAGTCAGAACGTTTCTGTGAAAGCTGCTCGAGGTCCTTCAGACAACTGCAGGTGACCTCGAAGATACCGTTTGTTACAGTGCAGGTGTGCATCTTTTCCTTTATGGTGCCATTTTGAGGCTGTGCATTTCAGCAGGGCTGACAGTGAGCAAACATTTTTCCATTTGCACTGTTTCTAAATGCACATAATTACAACAGGATGTAAAATACATTAATAACAGAAGTTTTAAATGTAGCTAGATATTGTTACAGCCGCTGATTCGTCTCTTAACATGAAAATTCACTGTACTGCATTTCCCTGAAAAGAACAACTGTTAACAGTCTTGTACAAGATTTTTCTCACTAAAGGCACCAATGCCAGCTGTAACACACAAACAAAAACATCACTGCAAAGAGTGCGATTTGCAACAATGAAATTAAAGCATAAAACAAAAGGGGGATTTTCTGTTACATGATGCATATTGTCAAATTGCCCAGCCATATTTACATATTCATCTCTTTTCTCCTTGTCTGACCGAGGTCTGAGATCACAGCAGCTCTGAGTAAAACTACAAATTGCACTGACAGCTTTTTTGGGAGAGCTGGCTGTTTATTCGACATGGTGTACCTAATAAAGTGGCCTTCTATATTCATGCTGTGTGGCAGGACAGGGGGCAGGGAGGTGCTTGTGTTGCTCACCTTGCTGTCAGCTGCAGATGTAGTGTATCTGGCTGCCAGTCGAGGACTGCAGCGCCTGGTGGTTCTCCTTATGATGAATGGACTCGCCTCCCCCAGAGGAATGTCAGCAAAGCCTGAGGGAGAACACGTGCTCACTTCAGTTTTCACTACACTCAAAGTTTACCGTTTTGTTCTGCCAACTCCTACTGCACCTGGAGATTTTTTATTTTTGTACATTTGAACCTGTCAGAAGAATAATCTGGAGGATATAGACATTCAGTATTTCCAACAAATGAATCTGAGCAAACAGAACACAAACTACAGCTTTTGTTTATTATGATAGAGTTGTGGTTACACTAGTTTACCTTTCTGTACTAGTTCAGGAAGTCCCTCAGGCCTGAAGTCCTCTTCTTCCTGGTCACTTCTTGGTTTGGGTGTAGCCGCTGTGTTGGCTCTGATCTTCTTTGTCAGGTTGTGCAGGGCCTCCTGGGCGCCATCTTTATCACTAATGTCACAGTGACCACGTTTCCCTGGAGATGACCCCTGAAAAGACCTCCGAGGAGCTGGAGCTGCCATGTTCTCCAAGTTGTCAACCATCGTTTCTTCCTGATGTTTGGAAGAAGCCTTCCTTCCTGAGCGACGGCAGCGTGCGCGGTCCGTGCTGCTGGAGCGGACGTTAGCTTCATTAGCACACTGGGTAGCCGTAATCTGTTCCAGCCGAGCCGTCAGCACAGCGTTGGTCTCTTCCAGTTTGTGCACTTGAACCATCATGCTGCAGTATTTCACCACACTCTCATCAGCCTCTTTTGTCTTCTCCTCTAGACACTTGTTCAGCTCTTCCATCTCACTCTTCATCTCCTCCAGCTCTTTATCCCTCTCCTCCATTTCCTTCTTCTTTCCATCGAGAGCAGCCTTCAGTTCTTCCACCTCCTTGGTTTTTAATTCAGTTTCTGTCTTCTTCTGCTCCAGGGCAGAAGTGTCTTCCACATCCTTCTTCCTCTCCTCTGCTTCCATCTTGAGCTGCTTCACCTCAGTGTGCTCCTCCTCACTGCTCTGTCCATCTCCTAAAACAAATGTGGTGAAGGTTACAAATAAAATTATTCAACTGAAAGTTATTCTAAACAGAATAAACACCGAGTAAAAATTTTAAAACTCTTTCTTTGACCAGAGTTATCTGTGTACAATGGAAAGACTGAATGTGATTGGAAACTGGAAGTCAAACTTTAATGTGTGCACCTGAGCCGTTTATCATCAACTGCTTCTCCTGCTCTAGCTGTTTGCAGGTTTTCATCCAAAGGTTCATCTTGCCCAGAGCAGCGTCTCTCTCTTTAGACAGCTGAGCGAAGCGAGATGTGAGCTCCAACACCTGGGGAGGACAAAGTGAAGCGGTGTAATTAAATTATTCTCACTTGTAACATTAATGTATCATGGATGTTGTGTTGAACATGGAAGTGAGTGATTCTGGCAAAGAATGTTTTATGAGATTAAAAGGTAAAATAAACAAGAACATCTGTGATCACTCTTTGTAAAATGGATCCATTTAAAGTTAGAGTATTGTATTTTTAGACTTGCTTTGTGTTTGGACCTCACTAGATCTGGATGCGTGTACCTGCTCATTGAGCTGTACGACTGTCAGTTTGTATGTTTCCAGCTCCTTCTCCAGAGAGGTGACTGCTGACTGAAGACTCCCTTGTTCTTCTCTGAGTTTCTCCTTCTCACCTTCTTCTCTCTGCTTTTCATTTTCCAGGGAAGAAAGAGCTGAAAGCAAATTCTCTTTCTCCACTTCAATCAAAGCAAGGGAAGCCTGCAGCTCCTGTGTTCCCATCTCTACCTTCTGTTTCTCCTCCTCTATCCTTTCCTTTTCTTGCTTGAGTGAAGAAAGAGTTTGCTGCATGTCATGATTCTCCTTTTCTATCAAAGAAAGAGACTGAAGCTTCTCTTTCTCACATGCTGACAGCCTTTGCTCTTGTTCTAGTCTTGCCCTCTCTTCTTTTACAGAGGCCAGAGTGCAGCGCAGGTCATCTCTCTCTTGTTCTACTGACATTAAAGTAGAGTGCAGTTTCTCCGTTTCTTTTTGCATCTGTTCTTTCTGTGCCATAAGAGATGAGATAGATTCTACTGAGGCTTGTCTCTGATGTGCATCCTCTTCTTTCTCTTTTTGCCAAACTTCTCTTTCTTCCTCATTAGCTTTTATGAGTGTTTTGAGTTCCTTACTTTCTTTTTCTAAAGACTCACTGTAGGTCCTCATGTCATTTCTCTCCTTCTCCCACTCCTCTCTCAGAGAGCAAAGTCTCTCTCCTTCTGTCTGCCACTGCTTTACAGAGCTCTGTAGATACTCTTTCTCCTTCTCCAACTCTTCCAGAAGAGACTGCATCCTCTCTTTCTCCCCTTCAGTTTCTGTGCTCCTTTGTTCAAGCAAGACCTGTCTCTGCCAAGAGGCTTCCAGCTGTGCCTGGAGGTCATCTATTTGTCTCTCTGCCTCCTCTCTCATTCCTTTCTCCAGCTCTTCTACTCTGTATTTCTGCCTCTCCTCTTCCTCTCTTCTGTCTACCTCTGCCTTCTCCATCCCTCTCTCCAGCTCCTCCTTAGCAGCCTTCAGTTGTTCTAGCTCTCTGTTTTTCTCTTCCAGCTCCCTCTCCAGACAATCTTTCTCAGATCTCAGGCTGTCCAGCTCAGCAGAGAGCCACGATAGTTTCTCACTGAGCTCCTTCTTCTCCTCCTCCACCTGAGAGTCAGTAGGTGGTGAGGGTGGAAGATAAACAGCAGAAATGAAACAAGCCAAGAGTGGAGGAGAAATCCAGGAAAAAAGAAAAGGGAGGAGCAATCTGGTTACTATATTTCTTGGTTGACATGAGTCACAAACCACTATTATAAAATAAAACCATGACAAACACAAATCACTGTAAAAGTACCTTTTGCTGTTCCTCCTCCAGCTCAGCTTTGGCTGTCTCTGCCTATATGAAAGGATAAAATCTTTGCATTTAATATGAACAATTTTTAACCTTTAATCTAAACACTGATGAATGTGAATTTTATTTTGGCAAAAATCTGTTGCAATGGGAACAAAGCAGCCTTAAAGACAGACACGCTGATGTTTGTGACAGAATACCTGTAGAACAGCCTCCTCTAGACTTTGCTCTACATCTTCCTTCTCTCGCTCCAGTGTATCAATGCGATCCTGCAGTGAGTCAGACTTTTTCTGGGCAGCTGCAGAGATAGTAACATTTAGACAGACATCTCTTTAAACTCAAGCGGTCATACCATTTCAAAGGAAGGCAAGAGTCACCTTTGAGCAGCTCTCCCATCTTCTTCTTCTTCCTCTCGTCCGACTCAATGCGGACCTGCAGCTTTTCAATGCCAGTCCTCATCTGCTGGACCTCATCTTGTGTGGAGTTCAGACGACAGGCAATCTCTCCCTTTTCTAGCAGAGAGGACTCTAGAGACTGTGAAAGGCGACTCACCTCTCCCTCTAAAGCCTGGGTGAAAAAGGAGGGAACCAAGCAGGAAGAGTTGGACATGCTTTACTCCTTGAAAAATTGAATAGGCTACAAGGCCATTTATTTCTATATCCCCCCTTTTATTAGCTTATGTTGAGCAGGTGTGATTTAAGAGATTTTTAATAAAAGTCTTGTTGTCCATTATTACTTAACTGTCTGTGACAAGTGATTTAATCTTTTTGGAAAAACATCTGACTTGAAAAGTACAAATGAAAGTTTTCCACCAGCACTAAACAGTATTCACTTGGGGGGGGGGGGGGGGGCTGTGAAAACAGTTTCAAACAATCCACACACATGTAACCTCATCGACATACGTCAGGTGAGCCATGCACACACACACACACACACACACACACACACACACACACACACACACATTTAAAAGTCTGTAAATAAATGCACTCCAAACATTGCTTGACAGCATTTTATGTGGCCAGGAAGCTTTTCAAAGCTACATTTCAAGTCTATGAACTTGAACATATATGTAAAATACTGACATTTATGTTCTGATGTATTTATCCACAAAATAGTTTGTGGATCGAACAACGCATTAGAGAATACTAAACACTACCAACAAATTATCATACACATTTTTAACTTTTGTTGTTAGATGCTATACAAACACACAGCCATCACTTGTCTTCATACTCTGTGGACACCCATCCTCAACATACAATAAATTTGCTTGTATCAAACTCCCCGCTCACCTGTATCTTGCCGACCATAGACTCGGTGTTCTGACTGGCAGTGGTGTGGTCATCTTGGATCCGGTTAAGATGGACAATAAGCTCTTCTCTTTCTCCACTCTGTTGAGAGACTGCCTGCTCCAGCACCTTAACCTGCTCCAGCAGCTTTAGTGAAACAAAAGGAATTAATTTTTAGTAAAAGAAAGAAATTAGTGATCTAACTAAAACCCTGCGCTCACTTATTTTATTTCGGTAGTCTCACTGAGATCATAATCTTTTTTTCAAGAGAGACCTGAGAACAAGAACCATTCAGGGTCATGAAAAACTCTTTCGTAAAACACAACCAGCAACAAAACAAACATATCCACAGACAGTCAGAAAATCCCATTCATAAAACAGAACCTGTAAGCAAAACAGAGAAATATCCAGTAAAAACAATCACACAAATCATATAAAACATCATATAATAATGCTCTAAATGAGACATTAAGGAATCAAACTTAAGGGAAGGCCAAAGCTCATTCCATTTGAAAGGTGCATAGTAACTAAAAGAATTTAAGCCAAGGTCAGCACGTCCTCATGGGTGTTCTGAAGCTGAGTGGAATATTGTAGCTGCAAGGCTTAAACCAGAGAAGGGGCATGATGTAGTGTGGAAGATGCAACAGTAAGGCTTTGTAAATAATTAAAGGGATGTTTAGTTTTTCTTGGCTGCAAGGAAGTCTATCCAACTTTGCTGTACAGACAGCAAAGAAGAGTAAAGAACTTGTCATTTGTAATAAAGCATAATGCACTATGATAAGTAGGATTCAACTGCTGAAATACTGGAGAACCAACTGAAGTATCTAAGTAGATTATAGACCATCCCTCTTTCTAGCCATGTCTTTAATTCTATACCTGTTGCCTTTCCATCTTCAGCTTCTCCATGTTGCTCTGCAGGACTTCAAACTCCTTCCTTCCTGCTCTGATGTCATCCTCCAGGATGGAAATCAAGTTTCTGGTGTCACAGTTGGTCTTCTCCAGACTGTGAACTTTCTCTCTCCACTGGGACAAAGACCGGTCCAGGTCCTCTCGCTCCTCAGTGCAGGACACAAGTTCAGATCTCAGCTGGGTTGTCTGGAAAAAACCCCCAGCATTTCAAGTAGTTATGCCACACTGACTGATCAGTAACCTTGAGAACAGACCATTGTGCATCGAGTTCTTGCTGTGGTGTTTCTGCACAAGGATAAACAAATGCTTGAGCCTATGTTGATAGTTTTACCAAAACACACACAGTAATTTAGTCCTCATACATACTGATGGTTGTGCTCACAGGCTTGACTCACCTCCGCCATAAAAATTTCTATCTGCTGCTCCATTCCTGTACAAGTTCTCTTCTGAGTATCCATCTCATCCTTCAGTCGGGTCCTCTCTTCCTGCAGGGTCTCTAGCTCAGACTCCATGCCCAGGATGTGTTGCTCCAGATTAGCTTTCTCTGAGCGAACCCGCTTCAGCTCGCTCTCCTGCTGGAGGAACTTCTCGTCCCATCCATCTATAGAACCAAGGAAAACATCTACTCAGTATCTACATTGAAAAACATAGTACAAACCTTATAGTCGTCAAATTTAAGCTGCTCCTACAAGACTGAACACAAACTATGGTTGCACTTGTGACTGCGGGCATTCACAACCAAATGTACTAATACATTTCAGAAAGATGTATAAAATATTACAAAAACAAATCTGTATGGTTAAATCACTTTTTCATATGCAGTAAGTCAGGAAGATAGTTACCTTTAGTCATCTCCAGTACTTCAAGCATCTCCATAACGTCAGCCAGCTGGCATTTAGATGTTTGTAGCTGCAGGGTTAAGGTCTCCCTCTCCTCTGACAGCTGAGCCAGCTAAATATGAGCACACAGCATTAATATTAACACAACAATAATACATTTCATTGTTAGCTTTGCCACTAACAGTCATGGCCAAAATACTAGCACCCCTGCATTTCTGTCAGACAACACTTCTCCCAGAAAATTGTCACAATCATGAATTCTGTGGTATTCTCATGTTTATTTCTTTGGTGTGCAGTGGAAGAAAACAAAAAAGCTGGAAAAACAGCCAAATCTGATCCATTCCACACAAAACTCCAAAAATGGACTGGACATAATTGACACCTTTTCAAAATAATCAAAAGTAGTTGCATTTCAAGCATGTGATGCTCCTTTAATTTGTAATGAGACTCACTCATTTTTGGCCATGACTGAATATATGATATTCAGCATTGTGTAGTGTAGTGTCTTCCCCCACCTGCTCAGCAAGTTCATTCTTCTCCTTGTTCAGCTTGTTTAGTTTGTGTGCCGCACCATGGGCCTCCGCCTCTGTTGCATGAAGTTTCTTCTCCAAATTTTGAACTTGGACTTCCAGTTCGGTCATCAGCTCCTTTCTCAGCGTGAGGTCAGAGCTGAGTAGGTCAGCCTCTGAGTACAGGGTCTGAAGTTCATTTTCTTGTTTTCTGATCATTTCCTTGTAGTGGTTGAGGTCATCGTGTACATGAGATGGCTCTAACATAATTACATAACAACAGAATTTATTAGTCTAATAACTTCTTTTGTTAAAATCAAACGCATCAAACCAACAAGTGTCAAGTCATAGAAAGTTGTAGTTTGGAGAAAATTTGTTTTCACATGTTCTGACAGGAAATGCTGTTATGCACCTAACACAGGAGCTCAGTATTAGACAGTGAATAAGTCCAAGAGAAAACAATTATTGCAACTGCAGCTTTAAGCACCAGTGAATTCATCATCACAAGGTGTTCACCCTTTGGTTTCCTTCAGGGAGGATATGGGGAAAGTACCTTCACAGGCTTCAGGTTTCTTTTCAGAAACATCTCTGGGACTTCTGCTGTCTGCAGGAAGCTGAAAGAAAGATTAAACAAAATGTTAAAACAATCACAAATATAGGGATGCACCGATACCAGTACCAGGTCTGATATACCATCCTCCAGTACTTGTACTCGTAAAAGCTGTCCAATGCTATGTGCCAATAGCACTTAACGGAGGCATTAGATTAACCTCACAGTGGCTGATCCAGTCATTAGGCGGTAGAGAAGAAATTGCAGTGGATTGTGGACACTTTAATAAAGATAAAAGTAAAGCCAAATGCAAGCTCTGATTCTTTCCTCTGCTGTGTCTGTTGAAGAACAATTCTTCCAAGAAAAACACGCGCATTAAACAATTTATAAATGAGGTCAGTATCTCCAGTACAGAGTTACACCAATGAGTCATGACTGAAGACAAACGGATTGGTGTAATAACTGATTTCTACCTGATCTAACGGTTGATGCTGATAGTGTAGCTGCTCCTCATTACTCCCCATTTCCTCTGCCACACATGCCTCGATCTCCTCCTCCAGCTGTTCCTGGATCATCTCTTGCTTGATGACGTCCTCATTGAAGACTGGTGTTGTCTCACTGCCAGGTTTGATGGAAATTTCATTTACTATATACATACTGTATATCATACTGTCCTAAAAAAAAATCATCTTATTTTCAGGCTAATAATTAATGTGCATTTGTGTTGAGTACAAAACTCAGTGTACCTGAATGCCTCGTGACACTGGGAAAATTCACCAGGCTCAGACACCATAGGGATCAGCTGCTCTTTTACTGGAAGGGACTCAGTATTGGTGCTTGTATCTAATGTCGGCTCTACGTCAACCTGCTGTGCTGATTCTGCTGAGGAAACCAGAAGAATTCTGTTTAAATGTACATATTCAAATTAGAAATTCTTAAAAAACAACAAACAACAACAAAAAACCCAAACACATAGTTTTACACTAACCATCAGTGTCTGTCTCATCAGGCTCCATGTGGCAGATGTTCTCTCGTGGCTTCTGGGTTTCCTGTGACTCAGAGAGCTCCTGTATGAGGCTGTGTTGCTGTCCCACCTGTTGCAGTAGTGAATCACACTTCTGCTTCAGCACAACCAGCTCCTCCTGTAGGCTTGCCAGCTTCTGATGCAGTTCAGCCTGCTCTGCCTCAAACTGACGGCTCCTGTGATACAACATATAATTCTAGCTTATACAAAAACCACTGTCAGACACACCATTTAATACATGCACCAGAGACAGGGATTGAACAATTTACTGAAGTTCAATATATTGCGATACAATAGCACCACAAAATATATTCCTTTGTCACACTATATACACTGTGTGGTCTCCATACACTAGTAACTTCATACTTTCTGTAAATAAGATAAGCTTAACAGAACACAACTCAATGAAGCTGGTTGTACTTCACATAACAAAACTGGTGCTAGAAACTGGAACAAAGGAATAAAAGACAAGTATTCTGCAGTAGGGGTGTAAACTGCAGCTCTCATCATGATACAATCATATACTGATTCTCTTTACCAATGATCCGACCACAAAATATATTCCATGATGTGATTTTGATTCTATTAGATTCAGGGGCCTGCGATCAATATCAGTTATGTACCTATTTCACACAACTAAATTTTTATTAACTGAAATGCAACAAAAGCATAATAAAATAATTTTTACTAAGGTCTTCTATTCCCTTTCAAATGCTATTTAAATTCAAATAAGGACCATTGATGACCTTCCATTTGAATATAAATGTTGGATTTTGAAGCATTTACACTGTCACACACACAGGGGTTTTGTTTAAAACGTCACATTCACACAATGTTGTGTGTGTGTCCTTTTTAATCCAGAATACTTCCCATACCCATGACTTGTTACTTTATGTGTGTATTTTTCTTGGCTGCTACAGGTCAAGCCCAAATCTCACAGGAAGCAGTTTGTCACTTGCCCCTGAACATCCCTAACTTAAAAATTCAATTATAATAGCTCAAACAAACATCAAAGCAGTTCTGTACCTCTCTCTGTTCTGCTCCTCGCTCCTCTTGTCCCTCATCTCCAGCTGCTCCCTCAGCCTCTGCTGTTCCTGCTCTGAGGACTGGAGCGAGCGCTGCATGCACTCGTTTTCCTCTTTGAGAGAAGCCACCTCACCTTCATGCCTCTCTACCCTTCGGTGCAACTGCAGCTTCTCTTCCATTACTTGATTCACACTCGACTGTAGTTTGAAGTTCTCTTCAGTTAGCTGACTGCAGTTCATTTCCAGCTGAAGCTTTTCCTTAATTACCTGATTCAAGTTAGTAAACAAATCATTTTGCTCCGAGTTTAGTTCATCAAATTTAGCCTCAAGTTGGCTTTTTTCCTCATTTACCAGGCTAAGGGTAACATCTAACTGGGCTTTCTCCTCAGTGACTTGACTAAGAGTTTTCTCAGCTTTGTGTTTCTCAGCAATCAAATGATCAATCTGTGCTTCTGTTCCCTGCTTTTCTTCGGTTAACTGCTTGACACTGGTCTGCAGCTGTCTGTTCTCCTCAGATAGTTGGTCTAGACTGACTTCCAGCTGCTTCTTCTCTGCCCTTACTTTAATCATTTCATTTTCTGCTTCCTCTTTGTCATCTGTTAACTGTCTCACTCTAGTTTCAAGGTTGTTTTTCTCCTGGACTAACAGGTTGAGACTATTGTCTTTGTCTTCAATTATCTGCCTGAGAGCTGTCTCTAACTTGACGTTTTCCTCTGTGATCTGACAGAGTTTAGCCTCTAATGCAGCAACACTCTCCTCAAGCTGGTTTCGTTTGACAGCATCCTCTTCCAGACGAGTTATTTCACAGCTCCTGTCAAATAACTCCTCTTTAGCGGTGACATACTGTGCCTCCAGCACAGAGTTCTGGGACTGGACCTCCTCTAAGCGGGCTTCCAAGACAGAGACCTAAAAAGGTTACAGAATTTTTATGTAATCCCATTATGGAAAATGAAAAACTTACAAATTTAAGACTACAGAAATGTACTATAATATTAATCTCCACATTAGGTCTACTGACTGTGGCTTAGAACTCTTTCTGACAGACCTGAGATTTGCCATCCTCCAGCCTGGCCTCCATGTCAGACATTTGGGCCTTGTTGTGAGCAAGCTGAGCCTCCAGTGACTCTGCATTTCCCTTCAGCTCCTCCACCTGATGAACAAAGAAGTTCATGGTGGTCTCATTGTCCTCCAGGTCCATTTGCAGCATCTCCATCTGCACCTTTATAATGAATAATGAAATAGGTAATGCAAATTATTAAAATGACTGTACTTCATTTGAAGACGACCTCCTTGGAGCTACCACTTGTTACAATACTGAGTCAGGCAGTGTTTATATTACTGTCTATAGCTTTTTATGTGTTGTTTTTATATCTGTATGATATGTTAAGTGCTTTGGTCAGCTGTGCTGTGGTAAAGCGCTATATAAATAAAGTTGAGTTGAGGCAAGACTAACATAATAGAGTAGTGTTTTCACTACAATATAACTAAGAACATATTAGTAACCAACCTTAATTTTGTTCATGGCGACCATCTTCTCCTTCAGGAGGTCTGAGGTTTTGGCTTGCTCTGCCTCTGCTTTAATCAGCTTCTCCTTCAGACCCTTGATGGTGTTGTCTCTTTCTTCCAAGCCGCATGATGCAGCAGACAGAGTCGTCTTCATGGTCTTGATCTCCTCTTGACAAGAGCTTGATGCTGCTTTGGCAGCAGCAGCAACTGACCGCTTTGCAGCTTCGAGCTGTTCTTTGAGGCTCTTCTCTTTCTCTAGGAAATTTTCAATCTCCAAAGCATGACTCTGGAACATTTTGCTCTTCTCCTCTGTGACATCTTTAACCTCTTTCTCCAAAGCAGAGACCAAGATATTTTTTTCTGTCAGGGTGTTCTCCAGGTTGGACTTGATTTCTATAGTGGAGGAGTGACTTTGCTCAAGCGCTTCTAGAGACTTTTTAAGATCAGCGTGGGACTGGTTGACCACATCCAGTTCATTCCTCAAGACTAGAAGCTTCTCTGCTGCATCTCTGTTTGCAGCTACGTTTTCCTCTAAGCGAGATATCTGCTCCAGGAGGTGGTTGGTCTTCTCAGTCTGAGCGTGCTGGAGGATCTTAACAAGAAACAGAAGAATAAAATTAAACCTAATATCTGTTGAACAACTACAGTGGTATGCACAAGAAAGTCTGATTATGTTAAACTAATGGCAACACCGTGGACAAATATATGGCTAAATATTTATAAGATTTATATTTTGGTATTTTGAATTTCACTGTTAAATAAAAAGATCAAATAAAACACTGAAACCCAATATAAGTGCAAGACATTTTACCTCTGCTTCTTTCTTCATCTCTTGCACTAAATTTTCCAACTCAGCCTTTTGGTTCTCCAGAGACAACATCTGAGCTTCTGCCTCCCTGATCTCCTTCTCCTTCTCTTGTGTCTGACTCTGCTGATCCTTCAGCTCCTTTTCTAACCATACGAGCTCTTCTGATTGTTTCTCGTACATCTTTTTGTCTTCCTCTTGTTTGTCTGACAGTGTCTTAACTTGATTCTGCAGCTCAGTTCTCAGTTGCTCTTGAATCTTCAGGAGCTGCTCCACAGAAATGACCTGAGACATGAACAGAAGATTCAGCTTGAGCTTCACTTTAAAAATAAATAAATAAAATAAAAAAATAAAATAAAATAAAATGTAGCGAACAATATGAAAGGAACAAAATGAAAAGGCACAGGGTAAAACATAAAAATAAGGTCAACAGAACAGATTTAATGTGTCTCTGAAATGAGAAAACTACACTCCGGCAGACAAACGGATAAATATTAATTGTATAATTGTAATTAACAGTACAGTAATAATAATAATAATAATAATAATACAGCAGTGGGTAAAACGTTTGTTGCACACCAGTAAAACTGACCTGGTCTTTGTTGAGGAGTAGCTCTTGCTGAGCCTCCTCCAACCGCAGCTTGATCTGCTCCGTCTCTTCATCCTTTGCTGAAACACTCTCCTCACACTTCTTCAGTAAGGCCGCCTTCTCTTCCAAGAACCTGGTAGAATTAGACAGAAAAGGAGGAAAACTTTTATGTTAAAAGCAAGGTATACATATTTTAGCTCCTTGGAAACAATGGAGACAGTGTAAGGTATCAAGGCATCTTTTTTATTTTTTTTTCTACTGTGGGTGTAGTTATTAACCTCTTAAACCCTGCAAACTCATGTTGCACAGTGACAGTGAAGAAGGGTGGAATTGGCACCTCTTAGACACAACCTCGGGAAAGCAGCGGTTGGATTTATTGCAGGGCTGTTGTCTCGGAAAATGGTTAATAGAGAACAATGAACTAAAGAACAAATAAAATTCCCACCTAGTACTCTGCTCCTCCTGCTGTGCAGTGGCCTGGGCCAGCTGTTCTCTCAGCTGGCTGATCTCAGCCTGGCCCAGCTCTACAAGCTGATCTTTGGAGCGGACCAAGTCGCAGGCTACCTGGTGCTCGTCACGCAGCTGTGTATTTGTCCTCTCAGCCTGCTCTGCTCGAGTTATTTCCTTTTGCAGCTGCAAATCGAGGTGGCGAAAAAAAAAAAAAAAAAAAAAAAAAAAAAAAAAGACATATAGGAACTATTCCTTTTTTATTCACTGGATTTTAATTATAACGCTTTAGCTCCAGTCAAATTCAGTGTTACTGCATATCCAATATAAACATATGGATGGATTTCTCTTAGTGGTGATTCTGAATTTGTATTCATTTTGCAAGCCTTTGTCAAGTTTCTTGACTTTGTAGGTGTTTGCCTCTATTTGTACCCATTTGTAGTTGTTTGAGTCTTTGTGGTCATTTTCGCTTGCCATCATTTTCCATCTATTTATCCCTTTATCCTGTTTACTCATAGCCTTACGGAAGAACATTGAACATGCACACAGAGCTACTGCACTAAAGTCAAATTGCTTATGTTTCAACACACCTAGCCAGTAAAGCCAATTGTGATTTTGCATGCATTTGTAGAAGTTTTGCATGTCCTTTTCAAGTTGTTAGACTAAATTTCCAACAACGTCTTCAAACAGCAGCTCTGACCCAGGGGCCTCTGGGCCTGTGCATGCTATGCTTGTTCAGTAATGTATCCATGAACAGACTACAATCTGGGTCAAGATAAAGGGCAATTCAACAATGGTATCGATTTTTTTATCAACTGATTCCATGACAAAACAGGGAGGTCTGCCATTTTTAAACATTTGATATTTTAAAATGTAAAAAATTTTTCAAAATAGATGTTCTGAGGGTTCACTAACATGACAGAGCATAACACAAGGCTAGGATTCCATTTCCAGTGAATATCTCTGGTTGTGAGCATTTTAGTCAATAACTATGATTCTTCTAGGTCCCTTATGTTTGCACAAAGAACTTTGGGAGCACAAAACTTACTGTAAGGCGTAGAAAATAAGCAACACAATAAAAATCACCTGAGCTTCGAGCTGTACCACTTGCACACCAACATTCTCCAGGTCTTTAGCTTGCTTCTGTTCAGCCTCAGAGAGCTGAGACTGCAGTTCCTTGTACCGGAGCTCTCGCTCCTCCAACTCCATGCTTTTGTTGAGGAGTTCTCCCTTCAGTGAGTCGATGTGAGCAGATAGCCTGGCCTTGTCTCCCTCTGCACTTACAAGCTGCTTCTATAATGAAAGGAAATGTATTTTGGGTCTAGACTATTGTCAATATTGCTTGAATCTTACAATAAATTATATTTCTTACATGTCTCTAATCCTTCATGGCATTATATCACACATTTTCATAAATGTTATAATGAAGAACAAGAGCGCTGTGCAATGACAACTTTGGGGGCTGCACCATATCAAACCACTTCTCTCAGCACACATACATGCATATTAAATATTCTACCACAAGTGTGTGTGTTCAGTATAAAGATGTCAGTCTGCAAAAAGCAATGTGATAGGTCTTTCCTTAAGCATCATCTTTACACTAAGAGCAAAAAAGGGAAACACCACACTTACCTTAAATTCCTCATTAGCCTCATTCAGCGAGCTGAGACTGTTCTCCAACTTGCCAACTTGGTCAGTGAGCTTCTTCTGCACAGCTTCAGTTTCCTCAATCAAGGTCTTCTTCTCTTTCTTCCACTCCAGCAGAGTTTGATGTTCTTGTTTCAGTTCCTTACACTCATTCTGACTCACAGCAAGGTTGGATTTCAGCTCTTGTCTCTCCTTCTCCACAACTGTCATCCTGTTGTTCAGCCTCTCTGTCTCTTGTTTCTGTTCCTGCAGCTCATTCCGAGATCTACAGTGTGATAAAAACATAATGCATTGAAACGCTACTGTAGGTAAATATCATGGATAAAAAACAAACAAAAACTTCTCTTTTCTTTCAAAAGAGAGACCGACACTGTTTTTGTACAGTAAAACTGTTTACCGGTCATGTCTGGTCTCTGCATCAGAGAGAGTCTTATTCAGGTTTTCCAGCTCTCGGGCTGAAGCCTGCGTCTGCTGCTCCAGTTTTGACTTAAGTCTCTTCAGCTCTTCATTCTGTCCCTCTGATTTTGCTGAGCAGCAGAAAGAGAAACAATTTAAAAACTGAGATAAACTCATATAATAGCTAAAATGACTGCCACCCTCCATCACTGCCATTCTTACTGTTCATCTACCTTTGAAGTCATCTAGTTGTCCCTGGGTGCGTTTGAGGCTCTGCTCGACACTCTTCTTCTCTTCCTCCAGCTGAGACAGGCGCCTGCTGCTCTGGTCCAACTGGACAGTCACACTGGTCTTCTCTTTCTGTAGTTCCTAAAGGGAGAAGGGAAAGTGGACAGAACATAAGTAGCAGCAAAAGATGAAATGAGTGGAGAACGACATGAGAGGTGGTAGGAAAAAAAAGGGAGGGCCTGTTTGTAATGTTAAGACAAAAACAAAGTGAAACCTTTACATTTTGCTAAACTGATATTTGGTGGTATTTTGACAATATTTCACCAGGTGGCAGATGACTGTTCATACATTAAAGATGAAACTCATAATCAGCAGACTCACTAGTGAGTTGTCAATGGACAGTTGCAGTGGATGAACATTCAACCAAACCAACCCACCTCTACTTTCTTGCGGAGGTCCTGCTCTTTGGTCTGGCTGATCTGGAGGCTCTGCTCTGACCTCAACAGTTTCTGTTTCTGCTCTTCCACCTCCTTCTCCATCTGTTTCTTTTGGAAAGACATCTAGAAAAATGACCAAGGGGAGACACACATCAAACAGCACATCAAGATGTACATACAAGAGCATAACTAATCAAATCTGAGAAATATGACAAATTCCAGTCATCCTTTATCAAAACTTTTTTTGTTCTGCAAAATAAAAAAAATCTATTTCAGCCTTACCAGCAGCTGGCATACTATGCGTGTAAAGTGAAATAGTCAATACTTGATCAGTAAAATGCATTACAAATGTGAAACAGCAGAAACCATGATAAAGTCACTTAATCACTCCTCTACATTTTGAACTATATTCTACTCCAGCTAAACTGATTCACAAAATTGATGAAATGTGGGCCAATTGCACTACTGTTCTTACAAGCATCATCCTGATTAAACAGTCACTAGAATTCCATGGTGACATGTCCCACCCCCTGGTTCACTGTCAATGTAGATGGCAGTGTGACGCAAGAAAGAACATGAGACGAAGGAACAGAAAAGTCCAAAGTAAAAACATTATGTGTCTCTATTTCTTCAGGACATTACATCACCTTCTCCATGTCAGCCTGCAGTACATTGTAGTCTTTTTTAGACTGTTGGATTTCTTGTGTTAACTTGGTTCTGGTCTGGTTCAGCTGCTGTTCCAAAGCCTGGTGGGAGCTCTGTAGCTGTGCCAGCTCCTATACAGAATACAACAAACACACAAGTTTTTATTAAAATAAAATAAACAGTTAAAATGTCTGATAAAACCTAAACATGTTGGGGGCCCAATGATGGTATGACGCCATACCTTCTGACTGTCTCTCTCTTGGTCCTTGAGTTTCTGCTCCAGAGCTCGTCGGCAGCTTTCAGCATTGTGCCTCTGACAGCTGAGCTCCTCCGTGACCTGTTTCAGCTTCTGCTCAAAGGATGAACACTAAAACAATCCACAGCAACAGTTTAATCATCTCTGCCAGTCATTTACATGTTTCATTTCAATCCAAGTCTCTGGCTAAACTATGTAACCAAGCAGACATAAAACAAAAACAATCTTGCTACAATAATAAAGTCTCTATGTACCAGTAATGGAATCCTACCTTGGCCTCAACCTGCTGGTGTCTGTCTGTGGCCTGACTCAGCTCATAGCTGGTCTTGGCCAAGTCTCTGTCCCGTTCAGTCAGATCTTTACGTGCCTGGTTCAGTTGAGATTGTAGTTCCTGCAACTTAGAGACCTGGCTACGAATCTCCTTCTCCTGACTGGACAGATTCCTCTCCAGCTCTGACACCCGGCTACGCAGCTCTGATGACAAAACGGTAAACCTTAAAGCTCTGTTGCTGGACGTGATTAGAATGTAAAACTTGAAGAAACCCATTTTTCTGAGGTAGTGGAAGTGCAAAACAAAAGGACACCTAATATTTTATGGAAAAGATGACAAGCACTAAAGATATTAACTTGAGAAATGCATCATGAACAGTGCACCTTGATTGAGAATCTTAAGCTGCTCCATCTGTTGGGAGGATCCACTGGGACTCTGCACTGTTCTGGAACAGCTCATTCTCTGGCTGGGTTTGATAGGGGTCTCCTCGTGGGCATCCCACAGGGATGTCCCCCGCCTCTTCAGAGGTGTTTCCATTGCATCATGGCAGTGACGATTGTGGGCCTGATCTTGCTGTTGCCATGGGAATATGGAAGATCCAGCTTGGCGGGCAGCGATGTCCTTGTGATTTACACTGACAGATGACTGATTCAACAGCTAGAAGACAACAGACAAGTTAACATCATGCCTTTACAGCACTTAATAAACATAAGTAATTTACTCACTTTGACTTGCAGGACTTTGAGCTCATTCTCCAGCCTCTTTCTTTCTTCTACCTCCTGGCTGTATTTCTCTTGAAGCTCCTCTATCCTATTATCTATGAAACACATACACAATGTACATGTCAGGGTAAACTGAAAAACTCCGCCAGACATAAAGTCCCTAATAGATGATCACTGAAATTTGCAACAACAAATGTCCTTTAAAATTTTTACAGCCACACAAAAATACCATAGAGAGCCTGTGGAAAGCATATAGCTGGAAACCAATCAACTGAGGTATAAGAAAAAAAAAATCTAATAACATGAATTTAAAGCACAAGTTTTGAGACAAATTGCAATACCTTGTTGTCTGTGGACTGGGACAGGAGCTGGAGTAGAGAAGCTTTTCTGTGGTGTAGTGTAAGGCTGAAGTTCAGATGAGGAGGACGACAAGGAAGAAGAGCCAGCGGGCTGAGAACGATCCAGTTCATTTTTGTACCTGAGCATTAAAAAAAAACAAAAAAAAACAAACAAACAAACAAAGAGTGTCATTCAGGATTTGAAATCTGTTCACCTAGTCAGCTTTCTAGTCATTTAAGCACAACACATTCAAAGCACTGTGCCAGAGGAGCTACATTTACAAGTCCATGCTTCTTACATTCAAACTTAAAAGTGCATATGAACAGACAAAAGTGAACTCACTTCTTGAGCTCCTGCTCCAGACGTTCTATGGTCTTCCTGCAGGAGCTAAGCTGACCCTCCAGGTAGCTCACCTAGATTCAGGAACAGGATTCAGTTGGGTTCACACATAGTTAAAAATACAGACTGAATTCAAGATACATATAAATCTGAGGTTCATTTTCTTCTTTTGCATACAAAGCAGTTGATTGTGCCCTGGTGATTAGATTGTCCACTCGACAGCTATATAGTACACAACAGTGAGCTGCTATCCAGTTACTGTGTTACATTCTGGTTTTAATAGACATACTGGTTAGAACATGCGATCTGATTATCATTGAACTCACAAATACAAACATCTGGTTAGCACACAACCAGTTATCTTTCCTCCATTTATTGAACACAACCATTACATAATCTGAGCTGAAGGGAAACGCACAGTGCATCTCTACTGGGTTAAAGTTTTCTTTGACTGAAGTCATTTTCTTTTAGATTTACTTTGATGTTTGTGGTGAGTCCTGCTTCATCATGAAACTTCTACTGAGCTTCAGCTAGCAGACAGCCACCCTGACATTATCCTGGAAGATAACGATGATAAACTTGGGAAGTAAGTTTTCCCTTGATGATAGAAAGCTGTCCAGGCCCAGAGGCAGCAACAATTCAACATTAGTTTCATCGGTAAACAAGACATTTTCCTGGCAATGTTGTAAGTCATGGTGGTCTTTGGCAAATGTCAGCTGCATAGTGGTATTTTGTTTGGAGATCAGCGTGTAGTGTCCTGAAACTATACGCCATGATTTGCATATGGCAGATTCTTCAGCAGAGATTTTAACTATTATCAACAATTGCTAACTCCCATTGTACTGAATGAATTTCAAACTAAATATCAATAAACTGCAGTAGAGATTTCTTTCTTTCTCAGTGACCTGCTGCTCTTTGACTCCGAGGTCATGGGCGGTCTTTTGACGGGCTTTTTCCAAAGAGTCACAGGACTCGACTAAAGACTGGTTCTCTCTTTTCAAAGCAGAGATCTCAGTACGTTCACTGTCCACCTGTAGAAAGAGAGACACTGGTAATTAATACATGTATTTCACTAATTTTGTAAAAAGCTCTTCAAGTGTGTGTTTTCACATCTGACAATCAACTTGTCTTTTCAACAGGAGATTCAATATAGCTAATTTATCTACACTTTTAAGTCCATTCATCCATTCCCCTTCAGCAATGACCTTCTGTTTCTGCTTTTGCAGGGCAGCCTCTATGGAGTCCAGCTGAAACTGTTTCTGGGTCCGTTCCTTCTTTAGTTTATCCAGCTGGACCTCCATCTCCTGGATCTTCTGCAGAGCTCTGGGTGGAAGTCCATCCTTCCACTCCTCCACCGCCCAGCTCATGGTTAACAACCTGACCAAACAGACATTTTATTTAAAGGGGGAAACAGCACCAATAGTTACTCTGCAAACAGAATTAACACTAATATGAACAATTAGTAAAGTTTAATCGTAAATCACGTTAAAATTACCCTATAAGAAACCCATATCTTCCTTTAGATATATAAAACCGGGTATTATTAAACATACGTTAGAGTTAATTCGTGAACGCTGGTTCTACGAAGAGAACGACAATAACACTAATGTTAACATTTGCATAGCGTTAATTGACACAACGTTAATTCATGGCATTTTGCTTTATAACACTGTTAACGTAAAAACTGAGATGAGAGAACCTACTCTAATAAACTGGTTAACCTATTACTTTCTTCTACCTTTTAAAATTGTGAGAGCATAGTGAACTTAGCACATATTAAATAACTACGTAGCGTTAGCTAACGTTGCGTTGTTTTAAAGTTAGTGGTATTATTTTTAGCGAACTAACGCCAACATTAGTTAAACACACCTCTGGCATTTTTAGGATGTTAAGATTAATTTGAAGTGGACCGTAAACTTTACGTTACGTTAAAGACACGTAACAGTTTCATTGCGTTTTAGTTAACCCAACGTTAACATTGCCGTGTTGAGGTACCGTAACTAGCGTTATGACAAGTAACGTCAGCTAATGGTAATCTTTACTTTAATCCTTATTTTAACGTTAAATTGTATCTAAAATGAAGTCTATAATGGAGATTGAACATACTACTTACTTTGGGCGCGATGCTATCACATACACACTTTGTACTCGTTAGAAAATTCAAATTTTACCGGACGAGATCACAAATACACTCAACTCCACGGCCATTGGCTAACACTTGTGACGTGGGCGTGCAACGCCTCTGATTGGCTTAATATTGTCTCAACAGTGCCACCGCTTGGTGTGACCTTGTAAGTACAGATCACAAACAGTAGGCTGAGATGGACCTCTGAAAAACAATTAGCTGAATATTTGAAATGAACACATGCATATATATTTCAAAATAAGTGCCATACTGTCATTTATTGAGTTCCATTGATATAATACAGAAAATCATATGCTCACTTTAGTTATGCATTCCAATAGAATAACATTCATGCCTGATAAAGTAATAGTTTATTACAGAAACAACAGAAAACATGAGTGACCTTTCAGTGTTGTCATTGGTTTGCTACATGCAGCATGAGTATGGATTTTGTGTTACCTCTTGTGCCACAGGTTTTAACTTAACACAGAAAAAGAAAATAGATCATGCATTTTCTTAGTGCCTGACCAGAGACTAAAAGCTCAAATCTGGTAAACCATAGGGTATAGATGTTATTTTTGGCTTGAGGCACCTACAAACCCTCTTAGGGTCCTTTTTTGTAAAAAATTATACACAAAGATGTAGAACAGAAATGGTGCTTTTGGATTAACAATGCAAAGGTGTAAGGCAGGCACCGTCAAGATGCGTTTTGCAGGTTACAAAAATAGTCACCTTTGCAGGACCTGCTACAACTATGTCCAAAGACAACTCATAACAATGGACTATTTTGAATCCTCTGTAACCTGCATTCATGTTGTACATACAACATGACCCATAGTAAACAAGAGGGAGATGCTACAGGTATTAAAAACAAAGAAATCAGAGCTTTGACTTTAGTTCCTCTGGCAGGGCACCATGCAAAAACTGCAGGCAGACCAAATGTCCACTGACAAAAACTGGTAGAAATGAAACAAAACATGCTTATAGGTTTGCCATTTTGACATCATTTTGTCACAAAACTGTACAAAATTTGAGTGCAATAAGAACCTTTCAGTAAGGCCCAGGTGATGGTTTGTGCATGCTCAGACTTATGTTACATATGATGATTTAGTCAAACCTACAGCAAAGATAAAACTACAGTTTTACAACCTGTAACTTCTACCCCACACACATGATTTCAGGGCCAGTCACATTAAAATTTTCTTGTCAATATGATTTCAGTACTCATTCTTGCTGAAGGTACTGTTTCCTTAAAGTCACCATATTGCCAGAATAGTTGCTATGCACTTGAGTAATCTCCGTTCATTTATTTCACTTGTGCAAACAGGAACCAACAACTAAAGCTGAGATTAAAGGGAGATGCATTCCCTTTTTGAAGAAAGATTTCATTCATTCATATTGACTATAAAGTATATGCTGAAGATAACCTTCCCCCTTATCTGTTCAATAAAATGTTAAAGGTATATTTTATCCAGTCACGCTGCATATTAATATTCTGCCCACTGCTGCCATGTCGATTTTCTTCCCAGGATAATGACAATATGGTGCTTCTTAGAAAACACACAAGGTACAATAATGTATCTCTTGACAAAAGCTACAGTGTTGCAACTTTTTTCCTGAGAGTAATGGGGCTCTGATCCAGGATCACTGGTCAGGGTATAGTACTGATAACTTCACTGAGAGTTAACTGGCCTCAGATCAGCAGCCCTGTTTAAGCGTACGCTGTGAGTAGAGAATAGCTGGTTCCTTGTCAGTAAAATGCATGGCCCTTTTGGTCAACAAGCCTCATATGGAAGGAAAGAAAAAAAAAAAACACACACACACAATAATAAAACATGCGACCCTTTGCTGATTCTTTAAAAACAGTGTAAGACAAGCCGATCAAACCACTGATTACTCGCTCACGAATAGTTCTTTGTGTTCTCTTCACGGTTGCTACAGAGTACCTGATGCATGGTCAGTAAACGTTTTTCTTCACAGTTTACACAAAAATCAATGTAGCCATAAAATCTGTTGCTGAACATCTGGTAGAATAAAATGCACCGATTGTGAATAAACAGCAGTGCCCTCTGTAGCATCAACTCAACATTTTGTACAGAATTTCAAATCATAAGGAGCAACTGCCAGGAGAAAAGCTGTGCAGCCAAAACTGCTGCAACGTGGTCTGTTTAATGGGTCCACAGAAGACAGTGAATGATTTCAGAGTCACAAAGAAAAAAATGGGCAAAAATCACTTGAGCGTACACAGCTCTCACATGAAAGCTTAGTTTCATCCAAAAGGCAGCTTTAAAGGCAATGTTAAAAGTTTTTTTCCCCTCCGCTGATCCTTTTTTTGATTTATAATATGGGTGTTAAATGGGTTTAATGAGCATCAACACACAGAAACAACATTTACAGATAAAGTTCAAAGTTAGAGCTGTAAGTATTTTGGAAAATTTTTTCATTCCAAAAATCCTAATTTCTCTGCTTCTAAATCCAGGTCTGACAGGAAGTAGATACAAATAAAAAATGTGATAATCCTCAGTCAGAATATGACGACACAGATGTGGGGAGGAAAAAGTAACTTGGCCTAAATAGAGGCAGGAAAATAAACAGTCAGCAATGAAAAAGTTTTTAAAAAGAGGTATATGATGCATGCCATGCAGTTGTGTTCTGTGTATTTTTGTTGTCTTTAGAGAAGCTCCTCACTCGAGTGCCTCTGCTTTACTTCTGCTCCTCAATTTCTCGTTTGACTTCTGCTACATAATGGTGGTCTTTACCATGAGCCACCTCCATGATGGTTAATGCCTGGAAACGGGAAAAAATGTATATATATCACAGACATGCTCTTAATATGACAGTTGACCAAACAGAGTATAGAATGTGGTTACATCCCAAAACAACCATGCAGCTTACAACACCAACATACACTGATGAGTAGGGGTATAACAATCCATCAATCTGGATCGATACAGATCAAACACCCCATGATCTGATGACAAAATAAATCAAAATATAAACATCAATGTTTTGTGTGCTTTTATTTTGCCAGCCAGCCAAATACATACATATGCGTTTCTGGAGAAGTGGTGTTCTTTTCAAACTGGACAACAAGCGCCAGGCGGTGCAGCTAGCCCTCTGAGAGTGGGAATTCACACTAAAAGTGAGATGTGAGCAAAGCACAAACTACTGAAGCATTTGATCTGTTCGGGGGCGGGGGGGGATCTCACATGTGTCTCAGAGTCAGTGTGGACAGACATTTCAAAGATTAGAGTTCTATCTGTTGTGTGAAAAGGGCACGTGACAAAATTCTTGCTATGAGAAGTGGCCTTGGCCTGTAGCAGCCAAGAAAAATACACAAAAAGTAAGAAGCTGCGGGAATAGAAGTATTCTGAATTTAAAAGGACACAACAGCAAGTGTGAATGTTAAGTTTTAAACAAAACTCCTACTGAAATGTAGGAAATATGTTTTTTCCAGCTTTTTTTGTGTGTGAGAATGCAAATGCTTCCTATCTCAAAAAAACAAGATGAATTGGAAGATCATCATTGGTCCTTGTTTGTATTTACATAGCAACTGAAAGTGAACAGAGGAGCTCAAATTTAACAGTTATACTTCAGTTATATTTTACTTATTAAAAATATAATTGCGTGAAATAGGCAGATAATATCGTTTGATATTGATCGCAGGTCCCTGAAACGAATTGAAATCACATGGTGGCTTATTTTTAAGTATTGGCAAAAATCAGATCGCTGGCAAAGAAAACCCATATAGGATTGCTTCCTGATGAGAGTGGCGATTTACACCCCTATTGAAAAGTCAGTTATGGGAATATGTAGGCCAAGGCTTCACTTGCCTCAAATGTCATCGCTTGCTTAAGTCCACTGGTTGCTCTGACTGTATTTGTCTCTCACAGCCAACTCTTCCTCACATTTTCTGTGTTGTTGCCCTCTTACTTGGAAGCCTTCAACCTATCAATATACCAATGGCCCACATGTCTGCTAATGTACCTTGTTCAGAGCTTTTACTCCTTGTGTCTTCTTCTCCAGCCCCAAATAAAGACGTCCCAGCTTCAGATACATAGATGCCACATTCAGAGAGTAGGCTGGGTAGTGTACACTGCAGAGACAATACATCAAGATGAGCAGCAAATGTGAGAACACGAGACGAAATCTATAATTAACACTACAATTAGTTTAATTGCAGTGCTACAAAAGTTCAAAACATATCATGCTGGAGGAGAACAAAATGAAAAAATAAAACACACTGAAGTAGATGTGGCTGAGTGCTATGTACCACAGAGGCATCATCGCAATTGGCAGCATAATAAAGGAGCATAATAGGTTGTACTACAGTGAGTGTGTGTGTGTATATATTGTAGGTAGAATTAAGATAAACACTTGTTTTTGTATAGAAAAAAACATTATTCTAAACTGCAAAGCATGGTTGACAAATGAATAAAACCTAAAAGAGGAGTTAAATCTTGAAAATCCAGAGGGAGTGATCCGGTTAACTATGTGCACAGTTGCTCTGTCTCTAGAAAATGCACCTCTAGAGGGGTTTATAATCCACTTGTGACTGGCCAGCAGCACTGATTGACCTGTCATAACCGTGCTACTGCTGCTGTGTAGATTTCTCACAGATCAACTTACCTATAAGGCTGAATGATCTTCTCTCCATAGCTCATAGCTCCATCCCAGTCCTGCATGTAGAGACAGACACCCATGGCCTGATACATCATGTGCAGCATGTAGACATTGGTCTCGGCAAATATAGCGCCCATCTTCTCCAGGCTTAGTTCACACATCTCCAGCAGCTCACTGGGAGGTGCCAGAGAGTCAAGAAATAATGGCATGCCATAGGGAATAAGAGGAGGAGGCTGGGAAGTAAGTGACAAGTCAGACTGTCTACATTTGTAAATCAAAGAAAACAGGAGCAGGACAGTGAAACGGGGTGAGGGGCTGGAGGAACACAATTATAATCAGAAGAACAGGATATTCTTGTAGTGTTTGGCTCTCCTGAACTCCTCGATGACATTCCTTGCGTAACGCACCATGGATCGGATTTCCTCTGGTTCTGGTGGAGAACTCAACTTCCTGATTTCCATTTTTGCTTTGTCCTAGAGAGAGATGTAAAGACAAGAAAAAGCTCTATGGTGACATATCCTACATAAGATGCACCAAAAGCTTCAAAGACATTATGCAGAAAGAACTATGGCCCCACACAGGGTAAGACTGCTGTACAGTACGACACACTGTGTCCTAATATCTTACTAAGTTTGAACAGGTTTTAAGTACTATGCTGTGAGTTCACACTGGACAGCTAAAAAAAATTTGATAAATGCAAATATGTAGGCACAGGTGGTGTTGATTTACTTTCCGACAATGCACAATGAAAGCTACTCACAGTTGGAAATGACTACCACTACAGTACGTGCATCAACAAAAGCATTGGTCCTGTTGTTGGTACAGTGAAGACATGGACCTGCTGCATTTTCCAACAGACCTGCAGACTGATGCTGATGAGAGACCTTCTGGTATATTTCTCAAATCAACAAGCCAAGTTTCCATCACACTGTATGAAAATGTCTAGGCTTCAAAACGGTACCTTAGACTTGGTGGTGCACTCAGTGCACTGACATGTGAAGAAGTAGGAATCCAACAACCTTTCCTTCCTGTCCTCTGTTGGATAGAGCAGGTCTATGTAACTGTTAAAGATCTACAATGAGACAGAGAGAGTACAGTGAACAAAGTGACACAAAAAGACCATTGTGCACCAATCAAAACAAACATCAGCATTTCTGTGAATTTATTTGATCTTAGAATTGCTGTAACTGAGAAGAATCATTGTTGGAATGCTTGTTTGCTTACCTCCTCCCCAGGGTTTATCTCTTTAACAGCTCTAACCTCAGCCACTGTGCCTTTATAGGTCACTATGACATTAGGACTACAGCTGTGATTCATCAGTGCTACACTGGTTGGAAGAACAAGGAACAGTGGAAAAGGTTAAAGAAACAACTATTGTGAAATGACAGAAAGGTGATAAAGGCATGACATTTAGCAGCTTTAAGACATTGAGAGTACATGATGAGTATGTTGCTCATATATTATAAACACAAAAATACTAAAGTAATAAAATCTGAAGGAGCTAGGAATTAAACAAACTGAAAAGAAATGCAACATTGATCTGAGATAAAGACAGAGGACGTATAGGGATACAAGTACAGACAGAGGGGGAAAAAGAAGAAGAAACCATTTAATCAAATGTTTTAAAATGCTGCAAATACTGTCTTTACCAGTTAAACTACTGAAGAGATGGACTGTTAAACAATGATGTGCTGACTTGGACTACCTACTCAGGAAAAACAGCTGATCCCAGATGGGAGAGTTCCTCATCCTCTATGGTAAAACCATTACAGTTCACCTGTAGATGCGCAGAAAACAGTAAAGAAAAGGAGGGACAAAGAAAGAGAGAAAGGAAGACACAAACAAGTGGAGACAGATAGGACAAAAGGGTGAGTAATATGATAACGCACCTTGAATCACCCTCTACTCTACTGTCTTGAACCCACCAGTTTTTAGAGTAAGATTAAAGATAATACTAATGCTGACTGAGACCTGGTAAGTAAAATTTATTACACTGACTATGTATATACATAAATATGGCCAAAAATATTGGCGCCCCTGCATTTCTCTTAGATAACGCACCACTTCTTCCAGAAAACTGTTGCAATCAAATTCTGTGGTACTGAAAACACATCAGAAATTGTATCAGACAATGTACTGAAGTGGGCAGCAATGAGTCCAGATCTAAATCCCGCAGAGCACCTGTAGAGAGATCTCAAAAGAAAAGCTGGGAAAATGAACCCTTCAAATCTGAGAGAGTTCTGTGTGGAATGGATCAGATTTGGCTTTTTCTCTCTGCTTTTTATGTTTTTTCTCCCTCTCTCTCTTTTTAAGATGGTAATTTTCTGGCAACAAAGCTGCCAGTATTATCATATTTTACTGTACACATTTCACCTGATAATGTACAGCTTGTTGCAATCCAAGTGTTATCCAGTGTCACCTGTGCAAAGAGTTCAGTAAGAGCCTGATCGTCGGGGAGGTCACTGATGTGTCTGGAGTAGAAGTGATGCAGTGCTGCTATGTCTGCCTGGTTCATCTCCTCCTTCTCACTGTCCATCCTATTTAAATCTGGAAGAGGCAATGAAACACAAACAGGAAGAGTAAGTGCAACAAAAAAGGAATAAAGAGGTGGTAAGAAAGAACAGAGACAGAAAGTGAAGAGTAAGGTGAGATGCAATGGACCACTAGTGGGACTTCAGGCTTCGAGTCTAGTTAACAGTTAGAGGCAGGTTTGAAGCAGAACTGTATTATTTTTTGCAATTGTTTTGGCAAATACACAATTTTAGTCACCTTAGTGTATGAACACAACCACTGGGAACAATTTCACTTGTGTTTTAAGACTCAAAAAAACTTGAAAAATCACATTAAGTAATCACAGGTTTTTAAATAATCATGGTTTAAAAGTGAGTTGCCTATGCAGTACATGCGTTAATACCCAAGAGTGTCTCAGTACAATCAGAGTCTCTCAGAGAAGGTTGTATACCTTGCTAAAGGGCAAAGTGGCAGTAGTAATTAACAGAGGAGAGAGAACTTGAAATTACAGCACCAGAATCTGGGGATTTAGGTCCCAGTGCTGTGCAGACTTAGAATGAATGAAAGAGACTGTACCAGGACTGGCAGCTGCAGCAGTCATTACTACAAGTGCAGAGACACAGGAACTAAATGCAACTAAAAGTGCACATATGTAAATAAGAACACACACACTTACGGGATTCAAACTCCTGGAGCAGTAGCAGCCTTTCTGAAGGGGTGCGCTCTGTTGTGACTCTCTGCAACATGAAAGACACATGAGATCATTCTAGACAAAAAACAGAATCTCCAAAATAAAATAAAAAATATTCAAAAGGTGCTTTCACTAAGATTTTACACACTGATAATTTCAGTGAAAATGGGTCAGGACCCGGTGTCTCTCAGCTACACACCCCTCCATGACCTTCTGCTGCATACGGCCCTTCTGTTGTTGTTCCAGCTTCTCTACCCTGTGACGTCAAAGTACGGTCTGTAAATTAACCCCGCCTGTCACCTAATGAAGTCAAGTCAAGTCATTTACTAATATGGAGCCATGGAGCAGCTCTGGGCAGCTAAAAGTCTGAACCAGTGGCTACCAGAGTAAAGAGATGGCGCCTTTTGAACAGAGAGAGTGGGACAAAGAAAAAGCAACAACCAGGGTTAACATCAGTTTGGCGTTTTGACATGGAGAGGGGTAAAAGAAGCCAAAGGGGAAAGATTAGATTCAGATAAGGCATTGTTTTGATTACATTAGTGACCTAGCATGGTCATCATTTCACCTCTGTACTGAATTAATATGATTTTAATTTGGAAGTAATTTGAGCTTTTTGTCACTTTAGCAGTAACCAGCACGTTCTACTGGACTTACAAATTTACTCATTAGTCAGCTAATGCTATTGGAGGCCACATCTTGTACAATTTGTTGCAACCAGGCATCTGTAATGCATGCTGTTGCTAGGAAACAGGATGTGATGGGAGGGGCAAAGAGCGATCAGGAGCAGCTTGCGGTGTCACTTTGTTTTGAGTCTCACTAGACCCTGAAAAGAAATTAGGAACATTACCTTCAAATAACTATTTTTCCCCTTTTATTATACTCTCCATTATAAACAAGCCAATTACTTTTTCTTTTTATTCACAGAATGTCAAACGATGGGAAAAATGCCCATTTAACTTTCCAAAGTCAAATGTGGTGCCTTCAAATGTCTTGTTTTGTCCAACCAACAGATCTAAAGATATTCAGTTTATTTTCATGTCTGACATCAGTTACTCACATTAAAGAAGGTGAAACCAGAAAATCTTAGTGACTTTTGCTTCAAAATAGTTGCCTATTAATTTTCTATCAATGAAATAACTAATGGCTGCAGCTCTAGTTTTTGTTTAGGATGAAAAAGTGTGTTGGACACAATGAGGGAATATGTTTTGGAAGATTATGTTTCCCAACTCCAAGGGAGGAGCACTGAAGCCACTCTGGAGACACGTCACTAAAAAGTCTCTGTTGTTTACTTTATGTTAGTTTGTCCTTTCATTTGTCACCCAGCAGTACCTTCTCGTTACTTGCGTCTTGGTTGTAGTTTGACTAAACAGTGCCCGCATAGATGCCCATGTAATTCCTCATGAATAAGCCTTTTCTGATTGTTATCTCACTACTTCACCTGTTTCATGATAATCCTGGCCACCAGTCTGACAGTTTCTGATGGACACCAGTTTTCCCCATAGGCACACATGGCTACACACTCCAGCTTATGCATGGGCCAGTCACCTCTCTGCACACAGATACAGTACAAACACACAGAAGAAGATGGAATCACTGATATTACAGCAACAGTACAACGTGAAAAGACAGAAAACAAGAAGGTGAATAAAATAAATGAACACTGTAGCTGATAAATGATTTTAGTATCACAAAGTACATGCAAATGCACCTCACTCTCTCTCTCTTTCATACACACAACTCTTCAGTTTTACTGCAGTGCACCGAGTGTGTTTTGTGCCATGAAACTAAAACGAGACCAAGGCAACGAGAGCACAGACTCCATCGTCATAGCAACAGCAATGTGCGGGTGTGCTCAGAGCCTGCAGTTCTGCTGAAGTGGTTATCAATGTGTAGTCCTAAGGTGGGTTACAACAACATTAAAATAACTTCCTTTAATTCACTGTGCAGTGTTTCCAGTGAAGCAACATGTTCAGCCTTTAGCAAAGCACATGTAGATATGGCACACATAAACAGAAAATCAAGCCCCACCATGAAAACACACAAAAACAAAAGCTTACCTGACAACCAATGTTGCAATAGTAGGCCTGCTTACACTTGCCACACTTAAAAAGATCATCTCTTCTGTAATGAAATGAAGACACATAAGTGCTCTATAGCTGTGATAAGGGAGGCCAGTTGGATATTTTGTAATTGGATTCAAATGCAATTATCCACCTGTATTTAATACATTCTAGTGGGTTGATGTGGAATTAAATTAAAACTTTTACTGACTGTTCTTTTCCCATGATTTTCAGGTACTTGAAAATTCATTTGCAAGTTTGTTTTAGTCCAGTGACAAAAGGTGGGACACAGTTACACAACACTTGAGCTCACACATGGAAGGAAGAAACAAGGAAGTTAGCTGCCAAAATTTTAATGTTATTCATAACTGGCCCATATGCATTACAATAATAAGGTCTAGGTAAACTGGGGGCAATTTCTACAAACATTTAAGTCCATCATTCACAAAAAATGGACACAATTAAAGTAACAGACATAATTTGAGTGTTTCTGATTGTATACGAGTGCGCACACACACGTCCAACCCCCTAGTGCACAAATGGCCTTCTCATCTTGAGGCTCCCCCTCTCTTGGGACACATGGACAGCTATATTTAGCACCCTAACCTTTTACTGCTCTAAAAACCCTAATGGCAGCTTGGCCAGGACATGTGTGTATCAGTGTGTGAGAGAGAGTTAATTTAACTCTGAAGAGCACAATAAAGTGCCATGGTGCATCAGATCTCAACAAGACCAGAGGACAAACTAGAGGGCTAACCCTTTAAAGGACCAGTGCACTGCAGTTTAACCTTCCTTTTATGTTTTTGACACTGTATGCCTACACACAGCGACACATGTCAGCACTCTCCGAATGGACTGGCCTTTCTAAGCACTACACATCCTACACTGTTACTGGTGCACGCATGGATTGGAAAGCACCAACAAAACAACATTTCAATTCTCTTCTAATGTTAATAGGTGAAACTTTAAACATGAGAGAAATAAAGACAGAATGGAAAATCATAAAGACCGCAGTTTTACTCTCTCTAAGCAGAAGTGGCATTTGAGCTGTAACCTGTTATGGGAAGTCATGTAAAGGTGTTCATGCAGACTTTCTGCAAAGTAAAACCTCCAGCAATACTTTAGTTGGAGGGCAAGATTTGTTAGTTGACTAACATTGCATAGACTGGTCCATAAATCCAGTGTTTATTAAAGTTATCTAATATCTAACTTAAATGACTGTACAACAGTAACTATTTGCAACCTTGTACACAGTTCATAGTATGGGTACACTATTTAACACTATGTGCAGGAATATTACTAGGTTCACTAAGACTATAGAAAGGCAAAACAATTAGATTGTGGCTTTAAAATCCAGAAGTAAACGCTCTTGTACGTGAACGTCGGCTTCGGACTCCCCTGACTGAGCTGAGCTGCAAATAAATGCTGCAGTCAGGTGAGCTGCCTCACCGCACTGACCCAAATAAGTCTGCACCAGCTAGGCAGGTGTTGGGAGGTCTAAAAGCTAACCTAGCTACGTAACTAATGAAGCTAGCCAGCACTGAAGTGGACGAATTACTTGCTTTGTTCCGTTCAAAACTATACGAATATGGTACCAGCTCGTCCCCGGCTGTCATGCAGGTGTTTTGTCAGCTGTTTCACGGAGGTAAGGTGTTACCTGGTGAAGCAGTGCTCACAGTGCGCTCCCCTCTCATTCACTGTCAACACGTGGGAGTAGGCAGGGCAGGCGAATACCAGCTCCCCCACTGCGAAGTGCCGCACCGCCCGCAGGCCGTTGCCTTTGTCCGGGCTCAGGAACCTCTCCGTCCCCTCTATCCCTTCGTTCTTCATGGTTTGTTCTGATTAGGGTAGACAACACCAACTACCTGTCTGCTCAGTGATCTGATCTGCTCTGTCAGAGCGGTTTCTTCCTCCCCGCTCTGCTGGAAGTCAGGATGGCGCTCATCGCCCCCTGCTGGAAGGTGGACGGCACAGCTCCGCAGCTGCATATCCTGTACTGATGCGCAAGGGACCTACTTCTTACTCTATTATGCTGTTACAGGGCTGTAACGGGCCAACAGAAACTTTGAACCCATTCAAGCCAAAAATTCTTCTGAGTAAACCCGGTTTCTATCTCCAATTTTCTTTGCAGATTGGTTGGCGGAGGAGTGTGACGTGATTCAGATTTAAGAAAGTGTTGGGTAAAATTATTAACAAGGCATACTTTAAGGTTGATTCTAATATTTTATGAATTAAAAACTTAATTAGTAGAAGATTAACATTATGTTTGTTGATTAGTTAACTTGTTTGTTTACTGTGTGTCATATGATTATTCTATCATATTAAGAAAATGAATAATTAGGATTTAGTTTAGAGCATGCATGAGTTTGCTTACTTGTATGTTACAATTATGTTAACATAGTTGAGTATCTCATTCTATGTGTTCACTGAATTCTTGGTCAGTATTTGCTGTGTTACCCAACTGGGGCACTGTTTAACATCAAGGGAGACTGATTCACTAAAACACTGAATCACATTAGATTTACAGCTTTAGCAAAGAGGGTCCACAGTTGTTTTATGATCACCACCTGGCTGTAGAGGCCAGGGAATTTGGGGTCACTGGGACACTAGGGGTAATAAACAAGAGATTAGATCTAAAAGCCAACAAGAGGAAGACAACTTCAAAAGACAGGGCAATATACAGACACACACAGGCAAGACAGTTTAATTAGCCAAATGGGAAGCCATGTGTCATATAGTGTAACAAAGAAAGGGGTGACCTCCATCTTTAGGAAGCTGCCTTTCCCATTGGAGCAGAAAGGATGCAGGAGGAGGACGGATGGATACATGGACGGATGGATACGCACGAGAGGACCGGACCAGTTTACAAGGGCACATTTGAAATTGTATAAAAACAACTGAATGGAGGAGGACAGCGTTCCTTCTCCTCCTGTAGTCAGGTTGAACGGTTTTGCTGTTGAGGTCAGGGCTTCAGATAGAGATGGAACCCAGAGCTCTGTAAATTGCTTTATTCGATGGTCTGTTTAGTTATGATAATAAATGTTTGAAAATTGATATTTGATTCCGATTATTCTTCATGAAGAACACGCTACAAAAGCCACCTGGAGCAATTCGGGGTTCAATGTCTTGCTCAGGGACACTTAGGCATGCGGGGAGACCGGGAGTCGAACCACCAACTTGCTGGTCAGGACTGCCCTACCTCGTGAGCCACAGCCACCCAATACATTTGTTTGTGTGGTTGCTCAGGTATTTATCCTGAGTTTGTACCATCTGCAACTGAAACAAATCAAAACACTTCACACAGTTTACTTTACATATATAAATGCATTTATTTAAGTTAATGATTTCTCCTCATTCAAAGTTGAGCTTCTGCAGTATCTATAAAACGGAACAGTTAGAAGCGCTGTACAGTCTGACAACAAAACTAAGAACTGCTGCTGAGTACACTGTGTATATATGTACATACTGTACACACATTGATGTAGGTATATACAAAAATATACACTTGTACATGTGGGACCCTTCGTGTCATATCACCCACCTCATCACTGTCATTCAATGAATCCACATTCCTTTGAGAAAACACACAATGTCTTGCTCCCCCCACCTGATTACTGTTGCATCACGCCATCTGTTGTTACAGGTTGATGAGACTTTTGAGATATATTGTCTTATGAACAAATTAAGCCCCCTCTTTTGCCCTGACTTGTACACACCATTACAATCACTCCCAGCAAAAGATGGGGAGGCTTAAACAGTCCTGAGCTGGATGTCTCTGCAGGGCTTTTCACATATCACAGAGGGCTTCTGTTTAATCCTAAGAGGGGAACGGAGGTGGGCTGAGAGGAGTAGACCTCTCACTTTCAGGACAAAACATCTTATTTTAGGAAATGCTGAATGAACTTTACTCCTCCCGTTGTTGAACTCCATCAAATAAAGTGTCGAATGTTTCCCTCTAAAACACAGCGAGTATGAATGAAGTGGCTCAGTGGTGTAGATACTCTTGTTGTTCATTGGTGTTCAGTTATACACCCTGTTTCAGCAGTAACAAATGTGCCTGTCTGCAAGACTGACAATATTCTTCCTCTTTTTGAATTATGTTTTCAAAGCACAGCACACACAGATCTGGCTCTGCCTCAGATATGAATGTTTCCATTACACAACAAGAGATTTATACCCCTGGTCCGTTATAAAAGTGACTCCAGATCAGCAGCTAAGAGCCATCCTCGCCCTGGCTTGGCCTGCAGGCTGAACTGAGGCACAAAATAAAGAAAAGTGAGATACACAACATAATGTAGGCAAATGTGCATTCAATACTTAATGAGTTCTCTGCAACTTATTCCCAAAGGCTTTCACCCCCTCTCGTTCCTCCTCATACAGAAACAACAAGAGGGAACTTTGGCACGTTGTGCTAAAGATGTAAACATTTAATCACCCAATCAAAATGAGGCGATGGACTACTTAATTGTTAGTCATTTTCTCTGTGTATAGCATAAAAATAATAAAACATAAAATAGCAAATGGTTCATCATCACAAGAATAAGACTAAAAACAAAAGGCTTTAAACAACATATCTGAACCACTGTAGCAGACAGCATTTACTCAGGTGTGTGCAGTTTGCTGCCTGTTCTCTGTTGTAATTAGGCTTATTTCCACTGCCTGGCCAAGTTAGCAGGGCAGATTTAACAGTTTATATAGTAAAACTAATGAAAAACAGGGATATCTCTGAAACTCTCAGGTTGTGCAGCAGATGAGTCTCTTTCCTTTTCTAGTCCTCCAGTTGTTACTCACTAGTGCACAAGTGCAGCAATAGAGGATGCTACAGGCCACAGTATGTCACCCGCACTGACTAGTACAGTGGACTGGATGCTTTGAAAATGTCTGAGATCTATACCTATCCCACAGTGAAGAGCACCAAATTATGACGACACACACAGGGATGTCAGAATAATACCAAACTAAGAGGCTGCAACACTTGTCTATCATATGTATATGATGCAAAATTTAACCCAGGACATCCCAGCTGTCAGCCTGCCCACTGAATGATCTGCATGTTCACACCCCTCAGGCTCAAACAGCTGTTGGATTTGCTATTTCAAAATAAGGTGATAACTGATCTCTAACCAACCATGTGTGAAAAGATGGTACCATTCCTGCAACGGGTGTAAAATAAACACTTGTTTTCACTTTAGAAATGGCAAATTTTCAAGAGCTTCAGTCATTTTGAAGAATTGCGCATATGTGCAACACGGAGCAAATGATGTGGTTGTCGTCTTAACACGCGTTGTCCACTCACATGAAGTGTCTGTCATCACATGCCTTTAGTTTCACATACTCCACCAAAGCCTGTGATTTGACTGCAGACACCATTTAGATGTTCAACTGAAGAAAACGGACAAAAAGTCTTCTATATTGCAACATTCTTCAGAAATTAAGTCAACAGAAAACGTTTTGTGTACTTTCGCAGTTTCCAAACAGAATGGCAAAGAAACCACAAATATTTCCAGTATTTAAAATTTTTAAATAAATCAAAGTCCTCCTAATTAACTGAAACCTTGAACCTATTTTGGACCCTTGAATCTGGTCATTAGAGAAACACAAAACCATCCCCACATCTAGGCTCCCCCTTGGGTTAAGTCTCACCTGTGGGTCCTGTGCCTTGCATCACAAGGCAACAACCTATCAAGTCACAGGATAGGCTTTCCAACTAGCCACAGCTTCAGCTGACCTTCTTGACTCCACTGCTTACAGATGGGTGGATATACAAGACAAGGCAAACATCAGGTATGAGGAACAAAATGGCAGAAAACATGATGTGGATACAAGAACATCAGACAACACAGCAAACATGGCCAGTTGTCTTTGTCAGTAAAGCAAAAAAAAAAAAAAAAAAAAAAAAAAAAAAAAAAAAAAAAAAAAAAAAAAAAAAAAAAAAAAAAAAAACCAAAAGGAGCATTTAGGAGCAAGGATGTGATTGTGCATGTGTGTGTGAGAGAGAAAAAGAAATAGAAAACAGAGAAGATATCTGATGTTAAAACACTCGAGGCTTCAGCTTCTTTCTAGAATAAACCAGGAAACAGGCGATGTAATTTATACAGGCTACTCTCTGTTTTGTGTTACCTGTGTCTTGAAGCTACCAAGTGGAGAGTCACTCCAAATTTAATCAAAACCAAATCCCCCATCATGACTTACCGATGATTAACAGTACTGAGGGTCATAGCAGTTAAGAGGAAGCAAACAGCTGCTTGTATTGGAAATGGTTTCACCAGCAGCACTGTCATGTAAAAGAAAATAAGGAGTGGCACAATGCTTTTTGGTGACACCAAATGTAGTGTTGCACCGGATGGAGCAGCTCAGCAACTGTACTTTTTTTTTGCATCAGCACAAGCTGAACAGTTCTGCTTGTACAATCAGAAAAATCTGCTCACCTCTAGCAGAAACTGAGTGAGGACAAACCGTAAAACCTTGTTTATTGCAGTCTGTGAACAGATGGTCACCAAGCAGCGACAATGAAGAAAAAAATAGGCTAATTGAAATCATTGAATGAGTGTAACTGTGGGAACGTGTTGGTGATACATGCAGCCAGAAGGTGCTTTTAAGACATACATGCACATTTCATACAGTTTGACTAAAGCCTGGACTTTAGAAGTCTTTTTCTTTCTGCATGGCATCTGTTCACAAGCTGAAATAAACAAAATTTTACTTTGTAAACAAGAGTTACAGGTCAGTTCTCTACACTGTAAAAATAACTTATTTCAACTTAAAATATATGTGAAAGTGCTGCTTTAAAATTTTGAATCAAGTCAAAAATGCTATTTGTTCATCCAATGCAACCAAATATTATGTCCAATGTAATCCTAATTAAATATCGCTAAATTTGTTAATTTATTGAATATGGTAGTTCTTTAAACCTAAAAATTCATTTTAAGATAACACATATGGCCAGTTGTGTACATTTTGTCTCAGATCAACTCATAATATAAACTAGAAATAAGTTGCATTAGCATGAAATATAAAATTTAAGGCAGTTTTAAAAAATTGGTTGATTCGACTAAATTCCTATATGATGATTTACAGTGCGTAGATAAAACCTGACTACCTCTTACTGTTTTCCTTCTTCAACTACACCAGTGCATGCACCATCTCATTCATGCCTATGTGAGCTAATCTGTAAAACAGGTCATCATGGTGATAAAATATCACTGTAATCTCTCTGCAGCCAACACCTGTTAGCTCTAAAGAAGAAGCTTCAACTTTAAATCCAGTTTGGGCAGTGACCTTCCTACATTGTTAATATAGAAACAGGCAAAGGCAATGATCTGTACTGGGGAAAAGATCATTTATAAACTGAACCACTGCACAGGGCGCAAGATGAGTGTAGCAAGAAAACATAAAACATTCATTTGAAATGTGGTTCTTTTTTTGACAAAAGTAAACAAAAAACACTGGTAAGAGAGTTTTCTGTGTATTTTCTTTAGAGACATAATGGTGTAGAAGTGGAGATGCTGTACCAGCCAGTGTTACAGCCTGAAGACAAACAGTAAATCATCAGAGTGCGCTTCAAGACACTTCCTGGTTTCAGGACCTGGATATCCAGCCAAACGGGCGTCAGACCCCATCGAGAGAATCTGTTCCTCTCCGCAAGACACAATCTGTACAGTACACATAGCATTATTCTCTCCGCCTTGTGTTTCTTTTCCTGTAAACTAATAAGACCAAACGAGAGGAAAAGCTCAAGGAAAAGAGTCAATTTCCTCCCTTCACATCACGATAAACCCAGACCTCACCGAAACCGCAACCTGAAGCTCCTGTCTGCCCTTACAGGGTCTAGCTCGGAGTGGAAAACCAACTGACAGAGAGCACCACCACCAACATCAGATTCTTTCAAGAACAAAATAAAAAGAAAGTCCCCGAAAACCCCCGGGGGGAAAATTAAAAGCAAGGAAAAAAAAAAAAAAATTAATATGAAAATAAAATAATTACAAATTAAAACATCAGAGTTCTATTTCACCTGCACTGAAGAAAGTTACAGAACAGAAAGAATTCACTTGTCTGGAGCCATCAATGAAAAAACACTGAGGTATGCAATTTGAATGGAGAGCCTCTTCACCGCATTCGTCATGATCCTCGCTGTCACCATCCAGGTTCCTGTTTATTCCATTACGGTCTATAAGCCCCTCCCACAGTGGGTGTGGCTCATTGTTGTTTTTTGGGAGGGGTGAGGTGGGAGAGAGTGTAGACGTGGCTCCGACGAGGATCCGTGTACCCATCGAGTTTGTCGTTCTCCTCGAGCCTACATCTATCTCTCTCAGTCTATTGTTGTGTCTGTCCAATTCTTGCGGTCTGTAGCGTCCCCTATGATTGTAAATTTAGAGTGAACTTCCACTGCTGGTTGAGGCTGAGGCTGCACACCTCCACGGTGAGTCCACCCATTCTGGCACTGCGGCTGTCCAGACACAGGTTACTGCCCACGTGGCGAAGCTTGGAGTTAGACTCGATCTGCTCCCATTTCTGAGACGATGACAACATACAAAACACACACAGTGCAGAAATGTTACATATGTCTTTCTACAGGAGTGCACTATTGGCAGATGATCAGACTCTGTGTTTTTACCTGTCTGCTGTCATTCTCTCGACAGCCTTGTAGTCTGATGAGGGAGCCGGCTGTTCTGTCCACCACAGTCAGACACAAGTCCATGTGTTTAACTGATTTATCCTTGGTGAGAGCCCATTCCTTTACAAAAATAAATGCAAATTAAAATAAGGGTATAAATAGATCCAAACGTCCATCGAGTGTCTTTGTTAGCCAAAGCTACAGGTAATTCCAAACTAAATGATGGGGGTAAACCAGCCATGTAAAACCAGAATCTAAGTGGCACTGGTTTCCCTGTAAGACCACAACACCTGTCGTTCTATTTCTGGAAGAAAGTATTTAAGAAGTGGCAGACACAAGCGTGGACACAGTTATGGGCACGTAAACACACATTTATACAGCTATCTTTATGAGGACATAATGCATTCCCTAGACCGTTACCCTAATACCTAACCATCACAATTAAATGCGTAACTTCAAGCTTTACTATAACCCAATGTAAACCTAATTCTAACCTTAACCCTAAAACCAAGTAGTGATCACATTTAGGATGAACTAACTAAGATTTTACACATTTTTAGTGAAACTGGGACAGGATGTGGTGTCTCCCCCTCACCCCTTTACTCCACGTTGTAGCTTTACTACAGTCGTGCTAAGAACATCACACTATCTGTAAAATTTGACCTAAGATGACTGAATCCTCCTTTAATGTACCACCTGTGCCCTCACCACAAGTGCCACCAACTGTTTTTAGAGCAAGGATTTGACAAGCTGACCTGTATGTGTCGTTGCTGTAATGCTACCTGGTTTCCCCCGGCATTGTGGCATTCGTAGACGCCCACCACCCCATCAGTAAAATGACCCAGGGTGTCCAAACAGTTTCCTCCCTGCTGCAAGGCGCCAAACGCAATGTCCTGGTGATCTGGGACCCTGAACACAAATAAAGCACTGTTAATTTGTGTATGAATTGTCTCACACTTTTATGAACTCTATAGGTTTTACATTTAATAGTAACATGGTGACAGAAAAGAAAAGAGAACTATGTTTTTAATAATTTTACTGACAAGTGCTGTCTTTAAATGATTACATGTGAAATTATGAGAATTTAGATCTTTTACATTTACACATTACTAGTTTCATTCATGTAAGTGACAAATTGCAAACCTACCTAATGTGCTTGAACCGTAATTACTGGTAATGGCTAGTCATTAGAGTCACTATAGTCATTTGAGAGTCTTATTTAAGTATAAAACATTGGAGCCCAGCACACAGAAGATCATAATGTCATACTGCTAACTCCTGGCAAGTTCTTAAATGTAATTTATGTCTCATTATGTAATATTAAATGTCACAGCATGTACCCTATCATATTGCATGAAATGTTCTCATTTTCTAACCTCAGTTCAGGGTAGACGTTCTCCAGATACCATTTAAATGGCTTACAGCCTAATCTCTTCTTCATCTCCAAACGACTCTGGATGCTGTGAGAGAGGAAGAGGCAGAGTTAGAGCAAGAGAATTAAAGGGTTCATCACTTGTGGTTTCCAATGAGTCTCTAAAGTTTGACTGAATTACAGTCCTGCTCAGTCATTGTGTAAGGGCAGAGAGCGGAGGCCTAGCGCACGTCTGAGGCTTCATCCGCTGGGGAAATAACTGCTCTGGCTGGCACTTGAGGGAAATGCCAAGTGTGCTCCCACAAGGTCACACAAGTATTTTTATCTTTGTCCAGCCACGCGGTGTGAATGTGGGAGTTTTGTTGTTGTGTAGAATATTCTGTGTAGGCACAAAGCAGCAGTAAGCTAGTATGGACAAAAGTTACAAGAAACATGGATAATAATGCAGTTAAAAACAATATACAATTTAAAGACATTAATAAGTAGAGCTGTCAGAGCTATGTGTTCAGAGTAGCTTCTCTCTGATGTGTAGCATGCTAGCATGCTAATACACCCAGGTGGCAGTTTATTAGGTACACAAAGATACTGTAAAACTAATGTAGTGTAATGCAACAGCTCTCTAATAAATCCTCCTTTTATGAAGGTGATCATGTTTGAACTGATTCAGAGAGGTGTTGACTCAACTGTGTGATCATTTTGGAGGCTGTAGTTTGTGCTGCTATTGAACTGTACTGTTATAGAGCAATGCTTTCTGTTACTTAGCCCAGCCTCACTCATACAAATGGGGCAGAAAACATAATATAAACACTTATTAACATAGCTACATCCTCCAAAATGATCAGACAGTTGACACAACACCTTTACAAAACCTTCATGAAAAAGGATTTATTGTCAGACTGTTTTCAGATTTGACTGCATTCATTTTAGCTTGGTACCTATTAATCTGGCAATTGCTAACAAAGAGCTTAGGCTGACTGGCAGGCCATTAGTTTGCTGGTGTCTTATTTTATAACTTAAGCACTGGATAAGTTTCAATTTTGACCTTCTGGTGCACTAGATGAAGAGACAGGGGATCACTGAGGTGAGTAGGTGTCATCCTCTGGGGAACATGAATGTCAGTATAAGATTTCACAACTGTCCATCCTGTTATTTTGCCTTGGTGTTTTCACACAAATCACCTCAGTGACCAAATAACTAACAAGTTTTTGATAAGTGCAAATCAGGCATTGGCATTTTTGCCCTCTTTGAAGCAACTTTATCTGCCTATTTTACAGCTGGCATGCTCTATAACAGTCAAATTAGTTTGCCTACTCATGTGGCTGCCTTTGTGATCTTCTCATTTTGCGACATATTTCTCTGTCAAACTATGTAAGGCTTGCATTTAACAGTACTTACTTTCCATAGGGGACATTTCTGGCTGAGGGGACAGCAGCATAGTAGAAGTTTTTGTACTCATCCATCCACACCTCTGCTGCTCTCCTTGTGTTCCTGAGAGAGGGGGAGAAAAAAACATTAGGAAAGGGACAAGGATAAAACAGGAAGACGTATGACAGAAAATAAAATGTGATATGTAACAAATGCCCCTGTAAAAATAAACAAATAAAATAGAAAATAAATATGGGATCTAGTGTTTTTTGTAACATCAGTTTTAAGTTGGTCTAGTAAATCCTGGATATCTGGGAAATGCTCCTCACAAAGTAGTAATTACAATGTCATGCAAGCAGATAAAGCAGATGGTGTCTCGTAGCTCCCCAGGGTCACGAGACAGCAGCCCCATGGGACCATGTCTGGGGCTTTATTCAAACTAAAGGGTGAGACGGTGAACTGAAGCAGAGCGAAAGCAAAACCGCACTGTGAGCCTCCATTGTTGAGGCTGAAAGATGAGAATGTTACTTCAATTAATAAACTATACTTTGAAAGGTTGTAAAAAGTTATGAAACACATTTGATTCTTGTTAGGTAACTTTTTTGTTAATACTTTCATTCAGGGTTGTGACAGGTTTGAACACAGGTGAGATCTGATTTTTTTTTTAACTCATCTTTGGAAAAAGTCTGATCCGAGTCAAAAACTTCAGCAGGTGATGTGAGCGTAACCTAGGCTGGAGTATCGGAGTCACATCCACAGTTAACATCATAATAATCTCAGAACAGTTTGATCTAATGCTGATGTTCATACAAGTCCACTGGACCTCAGGGTCCATTCATAACGATCTACTGTATGTCACAGCTTCAAAGTATTCACTAAGTGATAAAGTGTACTTTAATTGCGTGTTTCTGGATGAATTTCTTGTCACTCTCTGCAGCTGTTGGAACTATTATTTATTCCCGCAGCTGCATTTGCCATAGATTTGTCACAGATATCACTGAAGATCTCAGAATTTTCAGACGCCAGCTTAAGACAGTGATGAACTGATTCCAAATATACTTGACACAGCCACTTTAAATTCCCTAGTATCTATTTGTAGATCTGCCCAGATGTACTTGGCCGTGAGGGTTTGCTGGGCTTGTTTCCAGGGATGGTTACCTGTAGCTGGGGACTTTCAAAGCAGAGATCCATATCTCTCCCTGTATCATGTCCCCTACTGATTAGTACAGCTGATTATGCTGTCACATTTATCAACCCTCTAAATGGCAGAAGCAAAAAACAAAACAAAAACAAAACAAAACAGGCTGTCAGTATTTAACAAAGGCATTGTTTCCAAATGTGAAGACAATTTAGCTGGTGATTACTTTTTTATTGGTTTTTAATTGTTGGTGCTTGGGTTTAATTATCTAACAGTGGTTTGAGTCTCAGAGCTGCAGTAAAAGTCAATAACATCCTCTATGCACCATCATTAAAAGGACGACCACAGAAAATAATTTACACAAAAGTAGCTGATGCACATAACTAAACTGAAATGTTCTATGAAGAAGAGGTGCCTGACAAGAGCTGTAGTGAGAGTGAAAACCCCTGCAAAATAAGAAGGGAAAAACTCATAATACATCTCTGACAAGATTTAACTGCTGATGGTGCTGGGAAATGTATGAACACTGGGATTAGATTTGACAGTAGATAAAGTACCACTGCGATTTTAATATGACAGAGTTTAAATGAGGAGAAAATCATCTTTCCATTTAGTAGCTGTTCTGTGACTTTCAATCATATCTCATGAACTTCATCAACAGATGTCTTGGAAATGCTAATGTTCATATTTTCATTTTTCTGAGCACTAAGACGACGATTTGAACAGTGCTCAGCCTTAAAACGGATATAAATAAGGGTCAAGCTGCCATGCTTTTACACTTTGTTTCAGAGGGTGTGGGAGTTAATAGTAGCTTAAAAATACGTTAGGTCAGTTTAAAGGCACTGTAGTTAAGAGCCAGGGAATGGTGTCCCCTCTCAGTGTGCCCAGCAGATTTATTTTATTTATTTATTGAAATGCAAAATAGCATGTTAACAGGACAGAGGACAGAACATGGAAGACAAAAGAGACAAAGAACATTTACAAAAAAGAAGTAGATGGCTTTACATTTGGTTTGTGTGTGAGGGTGTGGTCAACTTTATATAGTCTGGTACATGTATATAAAAACTAAAGGGGTAACAAGGGGATTTAAGCCAGTGAGTAAATAATAAAGACAGGAAGTGTACGAGTAACGTTTCCACTCTGAACCACCAGCACCGGAACAAGATGAGGTCACCATTGAGGACAGGCTCAGCAGGGTGAGGTCAGCCAAGACAGCAGCATCTTTGTTTTATGGTCAAGTTCATCCTTTCCTTTGTTTTATTGTCTATTGTAATTTATTTTTCCGTTAGGACTGGAGTTGTGCAGCTCGGGGTCGGCCCCTGACTTGATAGGAGAGATATGACCCCTTGAATTCACTCATGCCCAGCAGGTTTATGATGGCGTCTTAAAATCGGCACTGTTAAGTCCCAGGGTCTGAATTTAGCTGTTCTAGCTGAGAAAACATTGACCTGAAACTTTAACTGGTATTAATATCAAAAATACTGATGACTTCATGAATTGAAGTCATCAGTGTGTATATTCAGTGTATATTCAGTGTAATGAGGACATTTTTGTTTTTGGTCTCTAAACAAGAGAGGCTAGACAATGGTGAAAATGTTACATGTGGCTGGGAAATGTACCGGAGTAAATAAGTAAATGATGTTTGCTGGATAATGAGTGCTTTTCAGTGTGTGTATTTGCATGTGTAGTACCTTGCAAACACAGTGCCACTGCCCCCGGGGAAGGTATATGGATGTTGCTTTCTGAAAACGTGGCCAACTCTGCTGCAGGGGATGATCTCCAGGCTGCCGCCGCACTGCCACACACGGAAAGAGATCTCTGAAACACACACACACACACACACACACACACACAGGTTAGAAACACCTTCCCACACTTGTTCCAACAAACTGTCTCCAGAAAATCAGTTTTGTCAGCAGCTTCTACATGTTTTCAGTGTGTTGTTATTGTCAGGTTCTGTCTCCAACATTTGAATAAGAGTTGTCTAAATGGGCGCACAAACCAGAATCTGAACTGCTGATCCAGTTCTGAAGAATCACATCACGCCCAGAGAAACATGAATCATCCTGTCAGCTGTGTATTCTAAACATTTTCAACAAATTCAGACAACAACAACAACAACAACAACAACAGGGAGACACCACTGTTATTGTACAGTATCTCTATTGTGACTGGTTATTTTCACTCATTACTGGCCTCTATCATTATCACATTATCACTGTAATTTTCTCAAATCAACTGTATTCTGGAAGATTAGAAAATTACTGGAGGGTTTTCTGTTCTTTATTATGATCCTGGCACTGAAACCCAGATGATCTCATGAGCTGATCACAGTGTGAGACACATCCTCAGTGCTACTTCACAACCAAATCCAGCAGGAAGAGTTTTATAAATGAGAAGTGATCTGTTTTTTCAAGGATTTATTTAAGTAGTTACACTTTGACAGTGACACCACTATGACTTTACTACATTTGTGCTGCAGCAGCACTTACCCAGGTTTTCTCCTCCCCATACATCCATCATCATGTCGTACTTCCCCAGCTGCTCAAAGTATTCCTTATCCATGACAAACAGGCCTCCTGCTATCATAGGAGTCCTGCAGGGGCACAGCAAGAGGAGGGAGCAGGCAGAGAGGAAGATAAGTAGCTGGTGGTAACTTGTAAATAAAAGTGTGTCAGCTGTGTGTGAACGCTTGGGTGTGTGTTTGTCTTACTTTATGGGGGCGATGGGGTTGCCTTGTCTGGCCCGCCTCTGGTCCAGAGTCATGTAGTCCCATTTAAACACCAAATTCCAGTCAAAACCTACACACATGAAAGCAACACTATTAGCTGTGATTAAGTAGTATCACATAGTTTGAGTGGAAAAATGTGGTGTTGAAATGCTGTGTACCGTTTTGTCACTTAGTATATCATTGATATACTTTTATGCATTAATAGAAAACAGTACCAGATGTGCCGACAGATGTCAGTCAAACCGAATTTGGCGCATGACTGCAGGACAACCCAAACACTGGAATCTTAAACATGCACTGATTGTTATTTTTGGCCACCAGTTTGAAGCTAGCTGCAAACTAGAGTGTGGATACCGAGCCCAGCAGGACCAGCTGGTACCTGAGGGTTTGGGCCGGGTTCAGACATGTAGGTCACACTTCAGTCTAGACGGCTGGATCACTTAAATATCTGCTTCATTTAATGATAAGGGGAAAAACGCCGTACAAACTCAACTGCGTCAGGCTTGGGTCATGTTCGGACATTATACTATAGGCTGTCTGGGTCAGGTTTGGACAGAAATATGCAGCCCGATCCATGCTCTAGTGGAAACACAACACTGATACATTGTAACTAAACAGCAGAAGTGAATAGTGGTCAATATCACTAAAATGTTAAGTACTTACAAATCCTGTGTATTTAACAAATAAAACTGTAGTAAGGTCCAAGAGGAGTGAATCAAATAAATTTGAAAACCAGAAACGTTTCACTACACTCTGCTGAAAGGCCCATAATAAAAACCAGTACAAGTCAGTGCACCCTTCTTTAGTGAGATCTGTTATTATTTTTTAAATATTTGCAAGTCCCAGTTTACTTTTGCTGACAGATTCAGGCCTCCTGATCCTAGTCTTACACAAATCTGTGGAGAGATGTTCTGCCAGTTTTCACAGATTATTCTTTTCAGCTGCTCTTTGCTGGAGGAGTTTTCTATTAGATTCAAGTCAGGGGACATACATCGCCAAGTCACAGTGTTCACTTTGTTCCCCTTTAAAAACTCCTGTGTCCTTCTGCAGTGTGTTTGAGATAAGTCATGCTGGAAATTTCCTCTCCTGTCCAATTTCTTCAGACCGGGAGTCATCTTTTTATTCACTAGCATGCAGCCCCATATCAGCACACTCCCACCTCCACGTTTCACAGTCGGCACTGTGCAGTCACCGTGGTCATCCCGGCCGGGTCCACGCCAAACATCTGAACAAAGCAAGTGCTGGCAATATTCATCAAGCTTCTTTTCATGTTCACTGGCAAAGTTTAGTCTTGTAGTTCTGTGCCATTGTGTGAGTAATGGTTTTCTTCTTGGATGTTGCCTGTAGGGGTTGATTTCATGAGATGTCTGATCTAGTGTCCACAGATGATCCTTGTGCCAAGTCAAAAGTTTTTCTGTTTAATAATGAATTGTGTGTGGCGTCACTTCTTGAGCCACTTTGCCTTCTGTTACTGATCTTCCTAAACCTCCTAATCACTCCTGTAACAGTGTGTCAGCTTATGTTCAGTAGCTACTGATGCTCTTGTACTCCTTCCCATAGTAATGACGTCTCCGAGTCTGGTTTCTGTTCACACAGCTTCTCTCCATGTGCAGCCATGTTGCATTAGACAGATCAAAACTGAGATGGCTGTAGTATTTACAGATTAAAGGTTGAAACATTTAACATTTTCATTTCCCTTCTTACATCTGACATCTACCTGGCATCAGCTTTGTTTTGCTTTGTGTTGCTGTTAATTTTAATAAAGACCTATTTGTTTTAATTTTAACCCTTGCGTGGACTCCCTCCTTGTTACATTCTTTGAGCCCGGTTGTGACAATGTTCTCTATCCACATCTGTGGGAACTAGTCTTACGCCTTAGCTGCTAAACGCTGCACTATGTTCATCACTGAGTCACTGACTGTGTCTGTCTGATGCTTGGTGCTGGACAAGAGAAGACGGGTGACAAATTAAAGAGAAAGCTTGACTGTTGGTTTGTGAGGGGATCTGGTGGCTCCCGTATGATGGCATGGTCTGGGTCCACCTGTCTCTTTAGAGGGAAGGGTAACTGTAAATCAATACAAAGTTTTTATATTGTGAGTGATCACCTTTATCCTGTGATTAAACATTTCTATCCTGATGGGTGAGGTCTCTTCCAGGATGACAGTGCCTCCCATCCATAGGGTCACTGACTGGATTTTTGATGAATATGGAAATGAATCATATACTGTGGCCTTCACAGTCACCAGGTCTCAGCCCAGTTGAACATCTATGGGAGATGCTGGGTCGGCATGTTAGATAGCGTCTCCATCATTATAATCATCATCAAAACACCGCATGAGGGAATATCTGTCAGAAGAACGGTGTTCATTCCTGCAGTAGAGTACCTGGGGTACACTTGGCAGAACTTACTGTCTTGTGTGTGAGACACAACAATAGCAGCCTTAAATAAAAAGTGTATGATACCAAAACAACAGATATCAGTGCTGCTACATCAGCACACACACAGTAAAGAAACGATTTTCTAAAAATGTAGCTAACACACACCCTTGTTGCTGAGCTTGAGTCACTGAACCACACAGGCGTTTAAATGTGTGTGTGTGTGTGTGTGTGTGTGTGTGTGTGTGTGTGTGCGCATGCTTCCTCTCTACTTGGGTACTTTACCTCCTTTCAGGTCGGCCGAGGCCCCTACATACTGGAAGTTGTCCATGTTAATGACATCAATAATTGGAGAAACTACTCTGGTCTTATCCTGAAGGAGACAGAAAAAAATAATAAATTAAAACTTTTCAGCTGTGAACAATGAACGAGATTTGAACAGGAAATGTCTCATTGATAAATATTTACTACAAGTTCTGTCAAATTAAAGGCCCAGTGAAAGCACAGCTACAGATGACTGAGTATTTTTCCATGCTCTGTGGAATTTTAGAGCAGAAGTAAATGTTTCCCTAAACACCAATGACTCATAAGCTTGTGCTCTATATTTCCTTCATCGACGTGTTTGTAAAGTGGAACTGAAAGTAAAGCAGGCCCGTCTTTTCACATCAAATCCAACCCTGAGCTGAAAGCCACTGTAGTCATATCATACAATGACAAGTGCAATGACTGTTTGGACTGAGGCACTTTGATATGACACATGAGCTTTAACGCACACAATTTGCAATTTTCCTCCTTTCCTTTTCTGATTTATTATTTAGAACTGCAGCTAAAGCAAAGAAAAACAAGGTTATTTACTCTGACAACAAAATGTTTTAGGCATTTATTAACCTGGGAATAGCAAAACACCATGCTTGGCAGAATCAGACTATTTTCAGCCGTATCCGATACATATTTAAAGAATAGCCTCCCTTTCATACACACTGTCCCACTTCACATTAAGATTGCATTCACTGAAGAAGCTCCTTCTCAAGTGTTTACTAAAAGGTTTCACTGTTAATATCTCCAGACTGTTCTTCTATAATGGAGCTCAGTTTAGGTTTATTCTGCTTCAGGATTTTTTCTTTAACATGTCACCGGCCACATCAACCTGCCCAGTGTTTGACTGTTTGTTGTGTCCTGTTGCTTTTCTTTTCTTTTCTCTCTCCTCTATCCACTTGTCCCAAACGGTCGAGGCAGAAGGCCGCCCATCAAGAGCCGGGGTCTGTCAGAGGTTTCTTCCGTTAAAAGAAGTTTTTCCTCCTTGCTGTCTCCAAATGTTGGACACCAATGTGAATAGTTTTACTCTTGGATGGTTAGAGCTAGGGCTTATTGATGGATTTTTCAATTCTTCTCTATTTAAATTCCATTAAATTATATTTGATTCAATTTGATGAAATGATGATTCATTTATTTCAGATGCTGAAGTGCTCCTCAGAATCTTGGGAACTTAAAAACTTTTCTGCATTCAACAAGTGAGCAACATTGTTCTTTACTTAAATACAGAATTATGTAAACTTCACATTAGAGACAAAATTATCAACACATTTCTTGGTTCTAATGCTGTGGACCAAGGATTTATGCATAATTAACAAAATAAGTGCTATGTTATAGAGCTACATACCCACTTTAATGATCAAGTCAAAATGAAATTAAAGGAATCAAAACTGAATTGAACTGAGATCAGTATCTGGCCCTAGTATCACTGCATGAAGGTGTGACTATACCTCGGCCACTCGCCCCCCCAGCCAGTGGTCATTACATTCACAGTGAGAGTCCAGAAAGGTGAGGACCGGCGCCGTGGCAGCATCTGCACCACGAACCCTCGAACGCATCAGTCCTGAAGGAAACAGCAGTCGCACACACACAAAAATATTTAACAATGAAACAGTCTTGCTGCAAAACTGTACAGTTTCATCCCACTTAGGATAAAGATATAAACGTTCTTCCTTCCCCGTGTCTACTTACCTTCTCTGCGGTCGTTCCTCAACACACGCACTTTCTCAATCTTCCCTAGCAACGCTCCATCCTCCGCTGAAACACACACCATTACATGGCATACCGATGACACACAGATTACATTTGCACACCTAATATTATTCAACATGAGTGTGTATATAACGTTTTCATGTGCATTGCTCACGGTTATCACTATAGTCGTCCACCAGAATGATCTCTTTGACCAACTGAGGAGGACTTTTCTTCAAGACGCTAAATAGAGAGAAGGAATTTATAAGAGGGTGAGAAGTGTAAAAACTAAAAATTTCAGCAGACAAATCAAAATAAAAAGTTTTAGTAGTGAAGAGCATGCACACCATTCACCTACCTGACCACAGTCCGCAGCAGAGCAGAGCGAGCTTCGTTGTGGAAGGTGATGACGACGCTGGAGGCCGGAAGGTCTGACTTCCATTGTTTATGTCTGCAACTACACGCCAACACACACAGCCATACAAAATAGGAATAAAAAGACAAAATACAAAAGCATAAATGCTTACACATGTACAGATGCACTAAAAAAAGAGTCCTACGCACATAAGTGCACAGCTGAATGTGCAAACCAAGCTACGAGTTGGAACAGCTCCCTAAACGGATTGTGAATGTTTGAACAGAATAAAAAGAATTCAGCACACAAGGACACTGAGGTACACACTCGCATACAAACATACAAACACAAAGGAGATGCAGCGCCCCCCCCTCCACATGCAGAGAAATGCTCTGCTGAAGCCGGGACTGACAGCAGGTTTTTCGGACCACAGGGCAAAGCTCCCTTGAGATTGTGTTTATGTTTGTGTCCAGCAGAGACAAATCCTGCAGTGACTGAAAAGTGAGGAACACAGGTGACAGAATGAAACGGGAGGAAGAGAATGAGGAAGAGGAGAGAGCCAAGGATGAGGCAGAGAAAATCAGGCATTCAGCTCTGTGAGAAAACATCTTCCCCTCCTATCCCAAGTGACCTTAACATTACAACCTGTGTGAAACTTGTGTGAACACGTCTACTGGCCAAAAAGACGCTTATTTCTCTGTGTGATATAAAGTTGTAGAATGAGCCTGCAAGTTGTTTTGCTCCATACTGAAGCACCATGTAGCTGGCCTGAGGAGGAAAAAAAAAAACAAAAAACAATTGGGCTGTTTTTCTGAAAACCATCATTATCAGTGGTGCTGCTGTGCAAATGACACATCACTGCTCTTCTAGTAGGCTAATAACTCGAGCTGCTCGAGTTAAGTCAAAACATCAGAGAAGCCGGATCACTGCATTTATAAAATAAAAACATCACACACTGTGAGTCATACACTGCAGAAATAAAACTACTGCTGTCAGATGACAGTTTGCCTTCTTTGTGTCTCAGGATGATGCACATCTAAACTTAGCAGTCACGGTGTTTGTTAAATAGACTTTAAAAGCAAGTT